AGTAGGGAGGAGTCAACTTGGAGAGCCTGGAGAGAGCACAACCCCAGCTCCTCTCCGGTAAGATGAGACCACGTGGAAATACTTAGATTAATAGAAATGGGTTAATATTTAAGACAGAGCTAGCCTATAAGAAACTAGTAACTGGCCAACAGTATAATATCAAATACAGCTTATCTCTGTGTATGTTTTGGAGCTGGCATTGCGGTGTGACCAGGTGGGCCATGGGAAAACCTACTACTAACATAAGACCAATCTCCCTCATGAATATTGATATAAAATTACTTCACAAAATACTGGCAAAATGAGTTCAAGAACACATCAAAAAAATTATCCACCACGATCAAGTAGGCTATATGCCAGAGATGCAGGAATGATTCAACATATGAAAACTCATCAATGTAATTTACTGTATAAACAAGCTGAAAGAAAAAAGAAACAAATGATCATTTCATTAGATGCTAGGAAAGCCTTGAACGAAATCCAAAACCCCTTCATGATAAAGGTTCTGGAGAGAACATGGAGATAAGGAATATTCCTAAGCATAATAAAGGCAAACAACAACCAACATTAAATTGAAAGGAGAGACACTCAAAGTGATTCCACTAAAGTCAGGGATAAGACATGGTCATCCACTCTCTCCATATCTATTCAGTATTACTCAAGGTTCTACCAAGAGCAATAAGATGGCAAAAGGAGACCAAGACAGTACAAATTGGAAAGGAAGAAGTCAAGTATTACTTTTTGCAGATGTTATAATATATATATATATATATATATATATATATATATATATATATAACCACAAAAACTTTGCCAGAAAACTGCTATGGCTGGCAAACACCTTTGCTATTTAGGTGGATAAAAGATTAACTCAAAAAAAAGATAGCTAGCCTTTTTTTTCCTTTATACTTTTCTTTTTATTTTAAATATCGATCCCAGTTCTCTGCCTCCCTCCATTGTTCTCTCCCATTCTCCCTCCCTTTTTCCCTCTCTCCCCTCCAGACTTACACCCTGACCACCCTCCCATCTCCCCCCATCCCAGTCCACATGTAGGGTGATGCCAACTAGGAGGGGTCATCAAAATATGTCATGTCATTTGAGGTAGAACTAGGACTTCACTCCTAGGGAAGTATCCCTTCAAGGAGATGAGCCCACAATATCTTTGTGTACCAGGAATACATACTGGTTCGACTGTCTGAGGTCCCTTAGACAGCTAAGGCCTTCTAGTGAGACCCATGTTCAGGAGGTCTGAGGTCTGAGTCAGTCCCAAGCTGGATTCCCAGATATCAGTCTGGGAGCCCATTAGCTCCTCGTTTTTCAGTCAGCTGTCCCTGTATGTTTCTGCAACCTAGTTTTATCCTCCCTTTCTGCATCTGGATTCTGGTTAGGCTCAAGTTTAGTTGTGGGTGTTTGCTTCTGATTCCAACAGGTACTAGATAAGAGCACCATTATGGTGGATGAGTTAGTCATTGATCTCATTATCAAAAAAGGGCACTTTCATGCATAGATGTGGATAATTTGGGTATATGCATAAGAGGGGGATTGCCGGGTCCTGTGTTAAACTGATTCCCATTTTCCTGAGGAACTGCCATACTGATCTCCAAAATGGCTGTACAAGTTTGCACTCCCACCAGCAGTGGAGAGTGTTCTCCTTTCTCCACATCCACTCCAGCATAAGTTGTCATAGGTGATTCTAATTTTAGCCATTCTGGTAGGAATAAGATGGTACCTCAAAGTTGTTTCGATTTGCATTTCCCCGATAGCTAAGGATGTTGTGCACTTTCTTAAGTGTCTTTTAGCCTTTTAGATTTCCTCTCTGAGAATTCTTTCTTCAGTTCTGTACCCCAATTTTAATAGGGTTATTTGGTATTTTGGTGACTAGTTCTTGAATTCTTTGTATATTTTGGAGATCAGCACTTTGTCAGATGTAGGATTAGTAAAATCTTTTCCCAGTTGGTGTGCTCCCATTCTAAGTTTATGGAGGACCCATTTATTAATTGTCAATCTCAGGGTATGTGCTATTAGAGTTATGTTCAGGAAGTGGTCTCCTATACCAATTTGTTAAAAGATATCTCCCACTTTCTCTACTAAGAGGTTCCGTGTGGCTGGATTTATGTTCAGGTATTTGATCCATATGGACTTGAGTTTTGTCCATGGCAATAGACATGGGTCTGTCTGCAGTCTCCTACACACCATCATCCAATTATGGCAGCATCATTTGTTGAATATGCTTTCCTCCCCCCATCGTATACTTTTACTGTTTTGTCAAAAATCAGGTGTTCATAGGTGTGTGGGTTAATATCAGGATTTTCGATTCAATTCCTTTGCTCTACCTATTTTTTGTGCCAATACTGGGATGTTTTCAGGACTATAGCTCTGTAGTAGAGCTTAAAATCAGGGATGGTGATGCCCCCTGAAGTTCTTTTATTGTATAGGGTTGTTTTGGCTATCCTGGGTCTTTTGTTTTTCCAATTAAAGTTGATTATTATCTTTTCAAGTTCAGTGAAAAATTGTGGTGGGGTTTTAATGGGGATTGCATTGCATATGTAGATTGCTTTTGGCAAGATTGCCATTTTTACTGTTTATCTTACCTATCCTAGAGCATGGGAGATCTTTCCATTTTCTGGTATCTTCTTTAATTTATTTCTTTAAAGACATGCAGTTCTTATTATATTAAGTCTTTTACTTGTTTGGTGTTACCCAAAGATACTTTATGTTGTGGCTATTGTAAAGGGTGTTGTTTCTCTGATTTCTTTCACAGTCCCTTGGTCATTTGAATAAAGTAGGGCTACTGATTTTTTTGAATTTATCTTGTATCTTTGTATCCTGCTAGTTTGCTGAAGGTGTTTATCAGCTCTAGGAGTTCCCTGGTAGAGCTTTTTGGGTAACTTATATAAACTATCATATCATCTGCAAGTAGAGAAAGTTTGACTTCTTCCTTTCCAATTTGGATCCCCTTGATTTCCTTTTGTTGTCTTATTGCTTTAGCTAGAACTTCGAGTTCAATATTGAAGAAATATGGAGAGGACACCCTTGTCCTGTTCCTGATTTTAGGGCAATTGCTTAAGCTTCTCTCCATTCAGTTTGATGTTGGCTATTGGTTTACTGTATATTACTTTTATTATGTTTAAGTATGTTTCTGTTATCCCTGATCTCTATAAGACTTTTTTCATGAAAGCATGTTGAATTATGTTGAAGGTTTTTTCAGTATCTATGGAGATGTTAATATGGTTTTACTTTTTAAATTTGTTTATATGGTGGATCATGTTAATAGATTTTTTTATGTTAAACCATCACTGCAACCCAGGGATGAAGCCTACTTGGTCATGGTGGATGATTTCTCTGATGTATTCTTGGATTCGTTTTGCCAGTATTTTATTGAGTATTTTTTGCATTGATATTCATCATGGATATTGGTCTGTAGTTTTCTTTATTAGTTGTGTCTTTGTGTGGTTTGGGTACCAAGGTTATTTTGGCCTCATAAAAAGTGTTTGGTAATGAACCTTCTGTTTCTATTGTGTGGAACAATTTGAAGAGTATTGATATTATCTCTTCCTTGAATTTCTGGTAGAATTCTGAACTGAAGCCATCTGGCTGGGTGTTTTTTTTTTTTTTTTGGTTGGAAGGCTTTTGATGACTGCTTCTATTTTGTTAGGGGTATAGGTCTATTTAAGTTGTTTTTTGTTCTTGATTTAATTTTGATAAGTGATAGTTATACAGAAATTTGTTCAGAAATTTGTTCATTCCTTTGGATTTGCAAATTTGGTGGAGTACAGTTTTTCAAAATATAAATTGAAAGTTGTCTGGATTTCCTCTGTGTCTGTTGTTATGTTCACCTTTTCATTTCTGATATGGTTAATTTGCATATTCACTTTCTGCTTTTTTCTTAGTTTGGATAAAGGTTTGCCTATCTTGTTGATTTTCTCGAAAAACAAATTCTTCGTTGCATTGATTTCTTGTATTGTTTTCCTGGTTTCTACTTTATTGATTTCAGCATTCAAATCAAAACAATTCTGAGATTTCATCATACACATGTCAGAATGATTACTATACAAAACACAAATAATAGGTTGTGCTAGAGAGAATGTAGAGCACTATGGATGCATATCCTGAACTGGTCATTTTCTGTGACCAGATAGGACTTCTAATAGAGAGATTGGGATGCTGGCCAAGGCAAAGAAACTTTGACCTATAATCTGTCCTGTCTAGTGAAATTTTATGGTAGGGATGGGGCAATCAAGGTAGCAAGAAGATTGTGAGAATGGCCACCCAATGCCTGGTCTAGCCTCAGACCAATACCATGATTTGAGCTCACACCTGACACTGCCCAGAGTGCTAGAATCCATAGGCCAGATGGTCCAGAGACCTACAATAGAACCAAACACTATTGGGGAAAATGTCAATGCAATGATGCTTAGCAATATTCTGCTATATTTATAGATTGATGGCTACTCCAATCATTATTAGAGAGCCTTCATCCAATAACTGATAGAAACAGATGCAGAGACCCACACTCAAGCATTAGGCTGAGCTCAGGGAATCCACCAAAAGAGAGGCAGGTAGGATTGTACAAGCCAGAGGTAGTCAATGATATCTTAAGGGATAACACAGAAAAAAAAACTAACCTGGGTTCATAGGAGATCATAGTCTGAATCAACAACCAGTAAGCCTAAATGGGACTGACTTAAGCCAGACTACACATTATGTGTCAGTTGTGTAGCTTTGTCTACTTGTTGGAATCCTAGCACTTTGAGTAGGGGACAACAAAAGAAGTTGAAGTAGAATTAAGCTCCCCCAACATATTATGAGTAGACAAAGCAAACCCAGTATGAGTTTAAAATGGAGTTAAGTTCAGTCATAATTAAATCCTTTCACCATGTTCAGCAATCTATGTGCATCAGCAGAGGCATGTATAATTTACCAAGCACCCATGGGTCTCATACAGCATCCTAAAATGTCTTAAAATAGTTACTAAATAAAAGTAGCATTACACAACTTACCTGGTGGGATTTCTTGTTCATGCTTCACCGCTGATACTTCAGATGAAATGAAAGCTTTACTTCCAGTGGGAGACTGAGTGTTCTTTAAAAATAATATTTAATCAGTCTTCTATATGTAATATTTTCAAACTTAATAATCAACAATGAAATATGAAACTTTTACCTTCCATTCTGGATATATCTTATGAAGAACTATAAAGGAGACATAGAATAAATTATATGTTAATATCCATAATTTGGAAACTTCTACAAGCCATTCTAATTTTGACTTATGGCAATATCTAGGAAGAAGCAACAGTATACATGCCATTAAACTATGCTGGCAAAGATGTCCATGGCTATCTACTTTAACTGTAATATAAGCTCTGCTGAGATCTAGTTCTGCCTTCTCTGCCTTTCTAGAACTGATGAGTACAAGAAAAACTGTGCTTTTCTTCTACCTCTCAATCATATTTCATACTGCTATCTCATAGTCTATTTCTCCTACTTTCCAGTTACTTTTATACCTTGCAAATTATGAACCTACCCTGTGATCCTGACCTTCAACTCACTCTACTTATCATTTTCATCTTCATTTCTTAACTTCCTTCCAAATTTTGTTTCTTGAAAATCCTCAAGTAATGGATAATTTATATTGTGCTTATAATTCAGCTCTCATCTTGACACTCTACTTAAAATATTACAATTTTAAAAGATATATCATTTATTAAAAACCAATAAATCCATTTATTTGAAGTATTTTTGATTACAATAATGATATATATTTCTAAAAAACATTTCAGCCTATTTTAACATAATCTTGATTTTTTAAATATATCATGTATAATACTAACCTTTATCTCCTCCAATTAGATAGTTTGTAGATCTTGAAGTTAAACCAACTGATAAATGTGGTACATACTTTGACTGAAGAGAAATAATGAAATTCTGGTAAAAGTCAATATCCACAGTAAGTTTAATAAATATAGGTAATCACTTTTCCTAAAATAAATGCCTTTCTCATCTTAAAAGAGGGTTTTTAAAACATTCTTAAAACTTTGTAGAGATCGATGGATCACAGGGATCCCCACACCAGTGGATTCATTATATCCCAGCTCTTGTATCTATAGCTCAGAAATATCACAGGAGAGGGAAGAAAGGTTTTAAGAGCCAGAATACCAGGAAATCTCTGGTAAATGATCTTCATTAGAGATGGCTGCATAAACAGGACTGGATAGGCAGTAGCAATAGACATGTAAATGTTCAAATGTGGGGTTTCACTGAGTCTTACCTTCAAGACAAAGAATATAGGTAACTAACAGCCCTCTCTCATGGATGAAACCCCTTATTGATATTCAGTACAAATTTGTCAGCTCTGAAACCATATACACACCAACCAAAACACCCTGTGTGGGTTATACTTCTAAATTTGTGAAGACACATACATACACATATGTATGTAACATTAATAAACAAATAGAGGCTGTCAGTTTGAGATTTGGGTTAAAGATGTGGGAGGAGTACAAGGGAGGAATTCAGGGAGGGGCAAGAAGAAGGAAACAGAAATGAAAAGATGAGGTAATCACAGTCTTAATAAGAAGGGGATTAGAAAATCACACACATTGTCTACATTGTGTTGTGGATTTATTCATATATTTTTCTCTGTAGTTTATTATACTAATAATAAATATAGGGCTTATTATTCATCTGAATTCCTATCTCTTCACCATTTGTTTTTAGAAAGACTTAGCTGATAAAAGGATATGATACTGCCCCTCCAACTTTATTCACAATAACCCCGGGTTTCCAAGTATGACCCCTTCCTATTTACCGCCACCAAAAAATAAATTTCATCACTGTTCAGTATTGTCACAATTTTACTAGTATTTATGTGTCATACTTAAAACATATACTGATCATGTGGTTATTTTTATTAAATATAGTGCATTGCCACAATTTGCTTCTTACTACTTTCCAGATACTCAGCTATAGGAAAATAGTTAAAAAATAGGTAATAAGACAATCTAACAGTGAATTTTGTCTCAGCTTGATGGGAATGTTTAGTGAAAATCTATTCAATTTCTGAGGATTAAAATGTCCTTGTGGCTTCTAGACAACAAAATACTGTATTTCTACAGAATGTGCAGCCTGACAGTTCCACAAAACACAAACTTAAAGAACAGAGAATCTCTACACCATGTATCTGCATTAGGACAAGGACTAATATGTTCTTACATCAAGATAAGTATTCAAATTAATGTTTGCAATATAACAATGAAGTTATTAGTGCAATGTTGCTTATGTTCCTAAGTTTTTAGTAATAATGAATTTTTTCTAATCTTTTTATATATTAGAATAATTATAAAGTAAGAGGATGGTGAATAGCACGTAAAAAGGCCAGAAGAATTACAAGAGGACTTAGTCATGAGCAACTTCAGATTTTAAGACAATTTGAGAGTTCTAAGCATCAACAATTGAAGAAAATAGAGAACACAGTATAGAAAGAGAGCAAGGAGAATCTGGAAAGGTTTGGAAAGAGGAAAGGAAACAGAGAGATGGTGAAATTACATTTTAACCTCAAAAAATAAGAAACTTAAAAAACTAATTTTAAGCTTTGGACTTCTTGTTCTAAAAGTATATCCAGATGATTTCATTGAGTCAACAGGAGACTGTTTAAAAATTAAAATGCTAAGGTAGTGGGTGTAATAAAACATTACATACAGATGACTGAGTATTTTCACTGCTCTCGCTATAGTCCTGGCTCTCTGTTTCCAAATTTAAATCCGCATCTGAAAGAAGAAATCAACACTTAGGTTTTGACTTAAACAAACCTGACATGACACTGCAAAAGTCTTTATAATCATAGAGAAAGAAGTTTAGAAATTACTTGTCATTGAAAGTAACTTTTCCTGAGGAACCGCCATACTGATCTCCAAAATGGCTGTATGAGTTTGCACTCCCACCAGCAGTGGAGGAGTGTTCCCATTTCTCCACATCCTCTCCAACATGAGTCATCACTGGTGTTTCTAATTTTAGCCATTCTGTCAGGAGTAAGATGGTCAGCAGCCCACAGACTGGGAAAAGATTTTCACCAATCCTATATCCGACAAAGGGCTGATCTCCAAAATATACAAAGAACTCAAGAAACTAGTCAACAAAACACCAAATAACCCTATTAAAAAATGGGGTATGGAACTGAAGAAAGAATTCTCAATAGAGGAAATCAAAAAGCTGAAAGACATCTAAGAAAGTGCTCAACATCCTTAGCTATCAGGGAAATGCAAATCAAAACAACTATCCTCAGGAAAATGGAAATTAGTTTATCAAAGGACCCAGCAATGCCCCTCTTAGGCATATACCCAAAGGATCCACATCCATGCAACAAAGATATCTGTTCAACTATGTTCATAGCAGCACTATTTGTAATAGAAAGAACCTGGAAGCAACCTAGATGCCCTCAATTGAAGAACGGATAATGAAGATGTGGCACATCTACACAATGGAACACTACTCTGCAGAAAAAAATCATGGTGTCTTGAAATTTGCAGGCAAGTGGATGGCACTTGAAGAAACCATCCTGAATGAGGTAACCCAGTCACAAAAAGAGGAACACAGTATGTACTCACTTATATATGGATTTTAGACCTAGATCAAAGGATCACCAGCCTATAATTCATACCACCAGAGGAACTAGGATACAAGCTGTATTCTAAGAGATTTATAAAAAGTCCTTCACAGAACTGGGAAGGGACATGTCCCCCAGAGCACAGGGGAAGTGGGGGTTCAGTTAATGGAGAGAGAAGTAGGAGAAAATGAGGGAGAGGAAAGGAAAACATGTGAAACCAGGAAGATTAAGCCTGGTTAGGAATAGAAGACAGGAGAGAGAAAGGGAAAGAAAGAGAGAGAGAGAGAGAGAGAACATAAAAGAGGGAGCCAATATTGGTGTGAAGATAAAATTGAACACAAAGAAAGGTCTAGAGAACTACAAGACTGCTGACAAATAACAATTTGAGCTTCTGTGGAAAGGCTACCATAAATGCCCTTCCCGGAGTGTGAGATCAACAACTAACTTCTCCATGGAGCCCTCAACTAATGCCTGTTGGAGACAGGAGCAAACACCCATACATAAACACTGATTTTTAAATAATGATGTTAGAATACTATTATGATAATTCCCATGAAAATTTTCAGTAAACTATTAGAAATAGAGAAGAATGTGATGATTTAGTGTTTGAAAATAGAGACTATATTTTAGTATAGTAGAGTTTTTAGAATTTACCTCCTAGGAAGGATTGTCTGTGCATCATCATTGAAGCTTCTGATGAGTCCGAATCTTTCATTTCCACAGGAGGCTAAATGGGTTTTCAAATATATATTTAGTGAGTCTTTTGCATACTATAGCCTATGAACCCATAGGAAATAATATGAAATCATTACCTTCCATTCAAGAAATTTCTTTTGAAAACCTAAAATGATACAATAAATTATATATTAATATGCTTAAATATATTTGGATTTCATACAGATCTGGAATGGAAAATCATTATGACTGATTTTGGGAATGGCTAAGGATATTTGGAATTTCGATGGATTTTTCTCTTTGCATGTTGTACTTAGTCTTTCTATATCTTAAATATAGGATGCAGGGTGGTAATAAAAAAGGCCATTATATTTAACTGAATGAAAAATTCTCAAAGTATAACTATAATCCAAATAAAAAAACTAAACTAAATGCAAATGTTATACATATCACTATGAAGTCTGTAAATAAAAGAAGAGAGCCCATCTTGGATTGCAAGTTGAAATCATCTGCCTATAGTGGTGTTAGAATTGTCCAGCCTGAAGTTGAATATTTTATCATGTATTTTTAATCAAATGCTTCAGAGACATTCACACCAATATACTCAAAAAGATTCCATATAGTATTGTAACATTACAAACATGAATCATTAACAAAATATAGTAATAGGCACAAGTCACATCTCCATGAAAAATTATGCACTGAACTGGTCAGTGAATATATCCATTCATAGAATAGCAAGATATAAAATGTTAATTTATATAAAAACATGCTTAAAACTGAGGAAAGTATTCCATTTTACTTTCTAGAATACACGTGAATTTTGTAGTAAGTAATCTTCAGAATAAAGGAAACCTAAATACAAAATAAAGTTCATTTATAGCTGAAAGGAGATCACAGTAGGCTGACTTTTCAGAAGCACTACAAATTATTAATTGTCCTTTCCTACCTTAGGATTCAGGGCCACATCTAATGCAAGCATGCGCTCGATATTCTACAGCTGAATGCTATGTGGCATTTAATTTGCTTAAACTAACTGACAAATCTACATCACCTGAACATGTCTTATACATGAAGAAGTCCAAGGCTATTTAATTAGAGATTAAATTTTAACACTGATCCTCAATAGACTGTCAGTGAATATTTGAGAAGCCTTAGTTCACCATCCACATTCCGTTGTACATCATTTGACATTGTGGTGTCAAACTCATAAGGTTCCTTTAATGTTCCAATGCACATAGCCTAAGAAATGATCACCACTAGATGGATTATCTGCTGCTTATTTTCTAAGCATTTATTGTTCTACCTTTCATTGATATTTTGGCCCAATTCAGAGAATCAGAGAAGAAATAATGGCATTTGACATTCCATATATATTATGAGTGACACAGATATTTATGATTATATACTGTACATTAAAAGAAGTTCCATTAGGCCTTCTCCTTTAATCAGATTAGTGACTACACTGTCATTATAGAACCTACATCCAGTAACTGATGGATAGTAGATGCAGTGACCCACAGCCAAGCACTGGAATTAGGTCCTGGAGTTCAGTTGCAGAGAGGGTGGAGGGATCATCTGAATAAGGGGAATCAAGACCATGAAGGAAAAAAACCACAGAGACAGCTGACCTAAAATAGTGAGAGCTCACAAACTATGGACTGATAACTGGGGAACCTGCATGTGACCAAACTAGACCCTTTGAATATGGGTGACAGGTGGTGTGATCTGATTTTTTTTCCAGGGGGTTGGGAGAACATGAACTGTTTTTGTTGTTGTTGTTCCTGTTTTGGAGCCATTCTCTATGGTGGGATACTATGCTCAGCCTTGAAACAAGAGGGAGGGGTTTGGTCCTGCCTCAAGTTAGTATGCCACACGTTGTTGATGCCCTAGAGAAAGCATTACTCCCTATGAGGAGTGGATAAGGGGTGGGAAGGGGGTTAGGTGGGGGCCAAAAAGGGGAAGGAAAAATTGGAGTTGGTATGTAAGATGAAAACATTTTAAATAAAAAAAGTTCCATTATGACCCAGTTATTCAGTCTTTCACACCTTCCCACAAGAGATAGACACAAAGAACAACTGCCCTTTCTCTTTCCTCTCAGTCTTGTTTCCATACTAATAGCTCATGATGTATTCCCCCACTTAACATTTCATCTCCTAAAGAAGTCCCTTTTAATGCCCTTCACCATATACATTGCTCAAATCCTTCCATCTATACCAATTCTATCCTATCTTCTTTCCAAGTTCTTATTGCTTGAAATTCCAGATGCAGAGAGGGAAGAAAATACCAGGGTACAAAATCCACAGAGATAGCTGACCTAGCTGGGAAGCCAGCATTGAGTGTACTCAGGTTGGCTGAACATGCGTCTCAGTTACAAGGCCTGGGCAATCTAAGGGACCTCTGACAGTGGCACCAGAATGTTTCCCTGGTGAACAAAAGTACTTTGGGAGCACATCCCCCATGGAGGGAGACTCCCTTAGCCTAGAGGCAGGAAGGAGGGCCTAGTCCCTACTCTAAATGACTTGACAGATTTTGTGGACCCCTCCTCGAAGGCACCACCCTCCCTGTGAAGTGGGAGTGGGTGGGAGGGTGGTCAGGGGGTATGGGAGGGAGGGAGAAAAGAAGGGAGGGAGGAAAGAAGAGAGGGAGAGAGAACTGGGATCGATATGTAAAATAAGAAAAAATAAATAAAGCATAAAAATATTAAATTGTTGTTGTTTTTTAAAAATAAGTTACTTTTAATTCTGTGCATGTGTGCATATCTTTGTGATGTTGTGTTTGTTTCTGAAACATGGGTGTTTACAGAAGCAGAGGGTTTGGATCCTCCTGGAGCTGAGCTATGGGTGGCTACTATACTAAATTGTTTGCTGGAAACTAAACTCAGGTCTTTCGGAAAAATAGATGTACTCAAAAGCACTAAATCCAGCCCTGTAGCCCTGTAATTCAGCTGTTGTCATGCCCATTTTAAAATAATACTGATGCTTAGTGATGCTTACAACTTATTATAATCTAACGCTTATTTCCAATTCTACACTTATTTTTATAGACAACATTTGGCTAGTAAAATACATGCTGGTCCTGATTTTGGTAATTCCTTAAAATGGCATACTGATGACATAATTCTTACCTCTCGCTCCTTTTATAATATTTGTGGATGTTGGAGTTAATCCTAGTGGTAACTGAGAAATATATCTTGGTTGAATATGTGTAGAGCTATCCTGATAAAAAATATTAACATAGGCCATTCAATTTTAAATCCAATTTAAATATTTAAGCAACTTTCTTATTTTAAAAGGAGGTATTATAGGGCTAGAGAGATGGATAAGTTGTTAAGAAGGTATCCTGCTACTGCAGAGAGCCATTTTTGGTTCTGAGCATCCTGCTTAGGTGGCTCATAACCATCTATAACTCTGTCATCAGTTTGCTCTGAATCCTCAGGCCTCTCTAGGTTTCTGAACAGAAATGTACATATACACAGAGACACAGTCATACATACATTCAAATATAAAAGAGTAGTCCTTTAGAAAAAGCAAGTATTATTAATATGAAAATAAATATATATCCAAAATATTTTTGAAATAGGAATTCATTATCACACATATGCTTCCTAGATGAAATATATATTTAACATCATTGAAACAGACAATGTAAACTCACCATGTAATGTAACAGGACATGTATTAACAACCTGAACATTAGGTGATATGAATATTTGGATTGAACTTCAGGACACATACAGTACCATTTTTTCCAAATTGCATATCAATGAGAGGATGTTTCAAAACAGATTTGAGCATATTATCTTCATTGAACTTATAACAGAATAAAGTATTTACAATCCCTACACCAACAAAAAATCATTGTAAAATAGAAGAAAAATATGTTATCTACAAAAAAAGCATTGTAATTGTAGGTAATCTAATCAAGTATAGAAACTTAATCCAATCAGAGTGATACAGGTCATGGATTTTCTCTCATTTTGTCTTTCTTGATCTTTAGCAGGAGATGTAAGTTTATATTTTTAATTAAGAAATCACAAGTTGTTGTTATTTAATTATTTTATTCTTTCTAAGATTTCTACTTGACATTTTTGTTTTCCAATTTCATGTATGAGTACTGCATCTGAACCACTCAAGCTCCACCTCCACCCTGCTCAAAATCAACTCTGCATATAGGACATGAAAGTAAAAAGGGACTTCGTCTTTGGGAAAGGGGGAAAGTAAAAAGATCTGAGAGAAAAAATGAGGGCATGGGGCACTGAAGGATATGTTCAATATGCACAGTTGGGCAACTTTTTGTAAAAAGAAATTAAGAACTTCAAAGGGAGAAAAGTCAGATATAGCATTCATTTTACATACAGATATAGATATTTTCATGCAATATTAACTTTGTAACTACTGATATATTGGGAAATGATCTAATCCACAGTTCTAAATTCATACCACGTAGAGCACTTGTAGTCTGTGCCATTTCTGTGGTGCATGCGGTCAGTGCTAATCCGTATATTATGCGCATTACTTCAGATGTACTAAATTTCCATACTTTAAAGATGCATGCCAAAACAGCCTTCATAGAATATCATTAGAATATAAACAGAATAAGGAAGATGTTTCAATTGGCCAAAAATGCAACATATATTCCACAGAATAATAGCTAAGAACAAAATTGATTGAATGAAATAATAAAATAAGAACAACTCATGTTGGTTTGTTTTATATACTAGCATAGAAATTATGTTACAGAAGTCTTACTCTCCAAATTTGGTATAAAATTTGACACAAGTCACAAAAGGAAACAAGATATTTGTGTATGTGTGTGTGTGTTTCTGCATTAATTATCCAAACCTTTACTTTCATGATTTCCTCTCATTATATTATATGAATAGGAGCATACATACATTAGGTGGAGCTTGGTGAACCCTGTGGAAGAGGAAGGATTGCAGAAGCCACAGTAGTCAAGTACACCACAAGAAAACACAGAGAATCAACTAAGCAAAATTCATAAGGGTCACAGACCTGTAAGTAGCAATCACAGAGGCTGTTTGGATCTGACCTATGTTATGGATCTGACCATAGATGTTATGGTTGTTTAGCTTAATGTTCTTGTGGGACTCTTAACTGAGATGGAAGGCTGCATCTGACTCCTTTTCCTGCTTTGGAGATTGGTTTCCTCCTACTGGGTTGCCTCACCGAGCCTGTATATGAGGGTTTGTGCCCAGTCTTAAGGTAACTTTTCATGCCTTGTTTGGCCTGCTCTTCTCTGAAGGTAAACTAAAGAGTTCCAGATATTGGTGAGAAGGAAGGTGGAGGTGAGACTTGGAGTAGAGGAGCCAGAGGATGAAATTTATGAGAGGGGGATAAGGAAGAGAGGAAAGAAAATGTAAGAATAAAACTATGTTGGGGCTTGGTTATCTGAATTCCTGCTGACTCATTGGATTATAAAGACTAAGATGACTGACTGATAGACATGGTTTCCCTTCCTCTTTACTCACGATGGCATTGCTTTGTTTCCCAATGCTGACTCCTTTCTCATATTTTTGATATTCGGAGTTTACCTAACTATAGAGTTGCATGTCTACTCTCCATTAAAGAAAACTTCTGCAATGTCAGGGTCAGTTTTGTGTGCTGAATTAAAAGGTGTTTTCAGATTACTCCGTTAATTTGTTAAAATTCAGCACAGCATCTCCTCTGCTGCGCCTACTGACTCCCTGCTTATCACTTGGAAGCCATCCAATAACTGAAGAAAAATTGTCAAATAAAGGAAAGGAAGGAAACACATATTTGACTTCCGTATTTACTTTTATGATGAATATTCATGAAAAAAACTATTCCGTATCAAAGAGATGAAAGTGGCCTTGGAATACATCAAACACAAATCACTCTATAGGGACTATGGTAATGGATCAATATTTATCCCTAGTATACAAATTGATTTTGGAAATCCATTCCACATAGAGGGATATTCTCTCAGCCAAGACAAATGGGGAAAGGTCTGGGCCCTGCTCCAAATGATATGACAGACTTTGAAGACTCCCCATGGAAGGCCTTACCCTCCCTGAGGAGCAGAAAGAGGATGGGATGGGATGGGATGTGGGTTAGTGGGGGGGGGAGCAGAAGAGTGGAAGGGTGTTGGAACTGGTATTGATATGTAATTAAAATTAAAATTTTAATAAATGTTATATAAAAAATAAATAAAAACATGATATAAAAGAAAAAAGACAATTGTTTGGGTAATGACAATGGGGAAATCAGTACACTGTCAGTGTTTCCTAGTGCTTGGTGATGACAACAATTTCTCTAATATTTTACATAGAAATAGAATGTAAGAATAAAAGCACACATAATAATATTTTTTAATTCACAAATGTTTCCAAAGAAACTATATAGATGATAATACTTGCTTTGAGAACATTCAAAGACTCTACATAGCTAATTAAATATTTTACAATAAAATTTTAAGCTTTGTGGTATTTGTTATAAATGTACTTATAAAAAATATGTCATTTAGCTTATGGTACAATCATTGCAAAGGACATTTTAAAAGAAATTAAAATTCAACATTACTTACAGATGATTCACTAGTTTCATCACCATCAAGATCTTCCTCTCTTTTCATTTTTAAATCTGCTTTTATTGAAATAAATTAATATTTATATAGTTAAAATAAAGTAGAAATAACATCTTTTAAGAACTATTCTTTACAACCATAGAATTAAGTATTGGCTATTATGAAAATTAAAATTTTGTTTTCTCATTTTAAAGTTCAATTAATCTCAATTGACTAATCAATATTTGCAATGGATGGACAAAATGCCAGTCATACATAAGTTTTTATTTATGAATTAAGTCTTAAAGTATTCCCTATCTGAAATATTATACTTTTTCTCATATTCATTTCCATTCTTGTACACAATGTAAACAAATTTTCAGAAATAAATGTGAATGACAACAAGGACTAAGATTCTACTTTGTACTTCCTAAGGTGTCCAAGAATAAAATTACCACCTAAAAGTAAATTTAAAAGGCATTTTGAATATCAGCATCCTATAACTTTGATTTATGTATTAGTGTATTTAGTGCCTTTAGTCAATAATGGGAGCTTGTCTGCCATAGGAGCAATGTGATAGTAAGTGTCATAAACTTCAGTTATTGCATTGTCTTAACTTGTAAAATTACCAGTTTAGTATACAGAAATTTCCATTCATACCCTGGGATAGTTACAGAATGCTCTAAATTAAAATCCATATAACAATACAAATATAAGTGTCATGCTTCTAAGCAATTAATACAGGGTGTTGGCAATTTTTTGTAGGAAGTCCCTAAGAAAACCTAGGAGATCTAACATGAGAATGCCCACTTCTGGACAATATGCAGAGAGTGAGACACCTTGGAACACTCAGTTCTAAATGGATGTCTCCATCAAAACCCTTATCTCAGGTTCAGGGATCCCTGTTAAAGAAGAGGTGGGAAAGTTGAAAGAGCTACTGTGGATGGAGAACCCCAAGGGGGAAAAGGGGCCTTCTATACACAGTATGGATGATGTACATGAGAACTCACAGACTGTGACAGCATCCACAGGGCTTACATTGGTCTTGGCAAGATAGCATGCCAGTGCTAAAGGGGAAAGTAGCTACAAGCCACAACCCCTAGTCCAGAATTATCCCCAAATTATAAGTATTTGCAAACAGAAAATTAGTTTTCGCTGGTTGAGTCTCTCTAGGTATCCAAACCATGGATGGTCCTTGGTCTCATAATGATTTGTTGGAACATTTTATTTTGTTAACCATTTAGGTAATATGCATATATATTATGTATTTTCATAGGATTTCTGTGCGTAGAAACATATGCATCTCTGTGTCTACATGAGTTTCTTGAGCTTTTCCTTTGGCTCATTTTCTTTGTTTTTTGTTATTTTGGTTTGTCTGTATTTACTATTTTTTATTTTATTATTATGATGATATACTATTTTAGATGTTTGTTTATATTCTAACTAGAGACAGAAAGAAAGGTTATGAATTTGGGAAGGTAGGGAATAGTCAAGATATGGAAAGAGAAAAATTAGGGGAAATCATAATCAAAACAGATTGTATGGAATATATTTTCAATAAACAAACTATTTTGCCATGTATGATTACTAAAGTTTTAAGATAGAAAATGAATTTTTAATATCAGAACTTTAGAAACTGTATTTGAAAATTTCATAATTCCCCTTTTCCTCATTTATGTCACCATAAATGTTTAATAAATGTATTGTGAAGATGAAATAAAGAGATATTGGTGTTATTAGTATCTGTTTTCTAAAACTTTGGGGATAAAATAAGCAAAGGACAATGATCAGTTCAACTATTTAGAACAATTGTATCATAATAAGAAATTGCAGAACTTACCATTAGAAATATATTTCACATCTTTCATTGATGATTTTCCTCTCAAGTCAGATTCTTTCTTTTCAATGTTAGCCTGGATGAGTTTTGAAATAAGATACTTAGCAAATTCACTCATAAAACATATAAAGTTAACAATCCTGAATATATATTAACTATTACCTCACACTGCAAATATTCTTCAGAACAGTCTACAAAGATAAAGAGACATAACCAATTATTGATTAGTGTTGCATTACATAGTCTATCATATTTTTATGCACATTGAATATAAACATAAATTTGTGACATTTTCAATTGTTGAAGACAAAGATAGTCTCAAATCTTAAAATTAAATAATTCTGAAGTGATATATTAACCATCTAAGAAATAGTAAAATAAAACACCTTATATAAAGAAATTTATAAGAATATTTCACAACAGTGTAAGATATTTTTAAATCATATTTCCAACTTACTAAGGAAACCCAAAGCAGACAAAAGTGCCCAAAGAAATGCACAAGGAACTTTTACCAAAGAGAATTAGGAGATCAGCTTGTACATTAACTTGTTGAATAGTGTATAAAATGTCTTTACTTTTCTAATAGAGATATGGTGTTATAAAAACTATATTTCTTCCATTTCTATAGCTTTCACATCATATGTTTTAGTGAAAACCTTAAGAAGGTATGTGAACCTAAAGTACAAACATATGCAAAAATATTTTCAGTATTGAAATATGACTGTCTAAATAAAAATTCAAGGATTATTTTTCACAGGAGAATTGAAAAATTACTTAAGCTATATTTTAAATATTGACAATATTTAATATAATAATCATTTTTTGTAGTTAATGTGTAAATTTGGAATGTCATTGTTTCTAAAGCTGTATTTAGGGTGCATCATACCATCAATAAAGCTATTGTGATCAGACAACCTTCTTCAAAATAATTTGGAAATCATTTATTAACAATTTGCACCTTTGAATTCACTTGCATGTGAATGCTTAAGGTTATACTATCCCTAATAGTTGATGTACAGCAGCTGTAGAAAGGAAGCGAGAGGCAGGGGCTTTTAACATTTGCCTCATTCCATCTCATTACTAATCATCTATGCAGCTGTGGTAATATAGGCAAAAACTATTCAATCCTTTTGAAATAAGTTCTCTCATATGTTTTCATCGTTAACTCCAAAGTTGCATAAGTTATAGTCTTTTTTTCTGTTCCTCTGGATAATCACCCCTGATTTTAAAGCATTCTCTAAGCCAGTGTCTGTATGTTTTCAATGTCTTTCTCTTAGTGAATTAAACCTGTGTACTTTTTCTGTATTGTATCCTGTATGATAATATTTTGAGAAGTAGTTGCAACATATGACATGGAATCAAGACTGTTTAGGGAGATCAGACATGGTTATTGTGAATGAGTAGCTCTGTATGGCCTGGTTCTTGTATCACTTATGTTTTCCAAAGAATTAAGGAGCATATCAACAACAACAATAACAAAAAAAAAGCATGATAGCATTTAGCTGGATCTCTGAAACATGCAGCTGTGATAGCACTTGGATTTATAGCTACTCCATATATTTAACACTCTGGGCCTTCTTTGTCTACATTTGTAGACAATATTCCCCATATACACCTATTTCATTTTCCTTCATGTTATCCCCATGCTCTCTACCTTTCTTAATCATCATTTCCATGAGTCCACTACTCCTTATTTCTTAGCACCCATAATATGAATAAACCCAAATACCCCTTTGTTTATAGTTCTTTCATTTCTGCTTGGGTTTTTATTATTTCTTGTCACCTACTGAATCGCTGTCACCTAATGCCTTATAAATGCATAGAAGTTTCATGACTGATTTTCTTTTAGTAGAGGAACACATGGTTCCTTTATTTGTCAAAGAAGCACTTAGCCAAATGGTTTTTATTTTATAGTTCAATGCTCTTACCTTTCTTCTCCACATTTACTGTGTTGTCTCCTCTTCGGTGTTTACCAAAGTAAACACGTACAGAGCCCTTAGGCCAAGGACGCTTAAATAATATGGTGTGAAAAAAGGTATCAATAACTAGTTCGATGAAAGTGTTCTAATCAGTTTCACAGACAACTTCACAATTCCTTTTTAGTATTAATTGTGTTGAAAACAAACATGGAATAGAAACCAAGTGGTTTGAAGTTATGTTTCAACATAAATATGTAACTTTTATCTTCATACAATCTCTGTCTAAGAAAACTACACTGTGAACCCCACGAAATATATTTAAAGATAAAAGAGTAGTAAATTTGTATATTTAAATGATAAACTGAGTTCAAATTTCATAACTGTTATGGTCAGTCCACGGAAAACAAAAAAAAATTTACAAATATTAGAAAACACTTTTAAATTAATTTGCTATATACAGTATTAGTTATTTACAAATATGCAATAACATATATAGTTACTGTTCAGAGAAGAAATGTGGAAAGAGTTTTCAATGTAAATGAAATTTTTAATTACTTTGTAGCAGTTGTTACATATCAGATGAAATTTAAAGAAATCTACCATAAGCTGGTAGATTTTGTGTATATTTTTTAGAATATGATTCAATAAAGATGTCCCAACATTAAATGACACAGAAAAGTTATTATCAACTCAGAGATAACTTTAAACACCAATAGCAGTGATTACTAATAATGATATTTTACAGACATCTCTAATTAAAATGTGTGCTGTAACAGATATTTGCTTGCAGATTTTGTTTTACATACAGTATGGAAAAAATGACTGCATTGACTGCTGTGTTTTTTCCAACTTTCTAGCAAAACCATGTTGTTAAGCCTTAAATTGGAAACATGTTATCACTTACATTTTTCTCATTTGTCATTCTGATAGAATTCCATGTATATCCCTCTTTTGCCTTTAGTTGGCAGCTTCACATACACATTCTTGTTCATATTCACCAAGATTGATTTTATTACATATTTCCCAACTACTTACTACTCCACTCCAAATACAAACTCTCTTCCTATGAAATATGTTAATTATTTTGCTTTAAACTTATTATATGCCATCATGTGCCATGTCCATTGTTATTACATGATAATATTCAGCAAACACAAACATAATTTCTTCAGGAAGCCTCCAAATTTAAGTTCTAATTCCAGTAACATCAGTCTTTAAAAGGTTTTCTACAAATTAAAGCCCATATAGAACTATAAATTTATATATATCTAAGTAGTGTCATGTTTAGTTGTGATATAGTCTAATGCCAATAAAGTCAGGGTTGATATGTTTATTATATTGACTTATTTTGTTATTTAAATAAAAACAAGTCAGGCATATGGTTTTTGAATAACAGATTTCACATTCTGAATGTTATTGACTCTGCAGGAGATGGGGTTGTTTACATATACCATTCTCTGCCATAACAGACACTTAAGACAGCTAGAGAGCCTAATTAAGAATTGAAACTTCAAGCTCTGTAATACAGAAAACAGATTAGCACAAATTATGTGTTACTAGAAATGAAGAGTCTTTAGCCTATATCTAACTCGGAAAGGAAACTGCTATACTGTTCATAATTTCAATTGCTATTCATAAGTATTAAATTTAACCAGTTAACATGTATAACTATTATAGGAATTTATACAAGAATAAGAAAAAAATGAAAAATTAATTATAAGGTTTGGCTTATGATACTGTTCCTTTTAATAATACATGTTTCACTACTATGTAAAAGGAGGTCACAAAAATACTAAATTATGATCTAATGATTCTATAAGGAGATAAGAAAATTTCATGTGACCTATGGAACACCATTTATCAGTGACAACAATCTTTAAGAAAAAATTAAATCGTATTACTCATGTACCACATGTTGTGATTTTTCACCATAATCATGCCTCTTTTGTGCTTCCTCTAATGTCAGTTTTAAAGCTGGCTCTTCTGGTGAGTCCATGTGAGTAGTTGAAGCTAGAAAAATAGAATGTGATGCAAGATGACAAAACTTAAAAAAATTAATAAATTAGAAAATATATTTTTCAGCCCTTAATTTTCTATAATGTCTTCTAAATTAATACATTGCAATGATTCATAACTACTCAATAGATTTATAATCTGTTAATGGCATAATGGCATTCTTAATCACTTCGTGTGTAGCATTATGGTTTTGTTTATCACAGTATTCTTATTTGGGTTTATCTGACATAATTGTAAGAAGGAGAAACAATGGATTGGGCAGGAAATTCTGCAAATTTGTTACTGCTGACATTTTTGTATATTATTACAAAGAAAGTGCATCTATTTATGATCTAGTACTTCAATCTGTTATTGAAATGAGGAAACAAGAAGCAATGTGATATTTTGTTCAATCCACTTATGCATAATACAATAAATTGACTCACTTTATAATCTTCCAATGAGTTCAGTACCCTTTCCCTCATTACACATAAAATATATGCAATTGTTAATATTTATTTCTCTTCTTTGTTACTACTCTTTTTACAACATTCCTCAAGAGAAAAAAAATTTAACAAATTAACTTCTCATGTTATCTTTGTCAAATGCCATAAAGCCAATTTTTAAACTTTATTGTGTAATTTTTTCCATTTCATAATCTTATTGGTTATTCAATATTGAGGTGGTAAATCTTTTCTTTACAAAAATTACATTTGTTTAATTTATCATGTGATATTTTAGGGTTTACACATATCACAATTAAAAGAACTTAGCTAACATTACAAAATCAGCCTGTGCTTCTGAATTCCCAGATCTCATTGGCATGGATAAGATCTATATTTCTATTGTCATTAGTGTCTCAAATATATAGAGAGGAGATGTGTGGAGATTCTATATGCAACAACTTTTTTCATTTCCTCTCATTTCCAGTGTAAATAACCTGGCGGTGACACATTTTCTCCCAGAAATGACTTTGCCCAAGTTTCTTTATCATTGGCTTCAATAATATGGATTTTTTCTTTCTGTACACATCAGCTCTCCTACACACATACTCTTTTTTGTTGTAATATACTGAGAATCAGTAGTCTGGATACTATCCATTCACTGTTCTTTAATGAATTAATTTAAAAGAATAATTTCCATGCTAATAGTTGTATCTTATAGTTATGAAGTTACATTTCTAGAAATATAGATAGATCGGATGGATTATAGACACATAGATTACAGAAAGATAAGGTGAAAAACACATACACAAATATATAGGTGATAGATCCAACTGGAATTATATTCATATCATAGATTATATATTCTACTTGTCTCTCCATCTTTCTTTCCCATATATTAGAAACTTGCATTGTATTCATAGCAAAGTCTATGCTTTCCTTACTTCTTGAACTATTATGAAATGCATTGCTGCATGGGTTTCTGTAGAGAGACATTTATGCACTTGTTACACAGTGTTCAGGCATCAATACTATTAGCATAACCTGAGATCTTTATAGGGATGTAGGACCCAGACATACTTAGCCATGATTTTATTTTTAAGCAGTTTCCAATGTCTTTTAATAAAAGACACAGAATCCAACCTTAACAGGGTATCTTTACCCAACATACTCTATGATGTGGGATTAATATATTGGAAATTCTTCTATAGTGTAACATTTATTTCTTCTTAACATTTATTCAAAATTAAATATAAAAAGCCATGATCTTGGCAATGGGGCTCATTTGTCACTTTTCACACTGAATGTCAGCCTGGGTTGTTTAGCGATCTCCATGGGACATCTTTGGCCAACAACTCAACTGAATGAAATGCTGTCCCATCACTGGAATTTTTGCCTGACCACAAAAGATTTCATACCCTCCATTACTAGGAGTCCTCACTAGAGCAACTCCCATAACTTGCATGTAGTGTCCATTGTACTAGATTTCCAGATCATCCTTTAAATGCCCCTCAATTGCAATTGTTTCTCTCCCATACTCTCTCCCTCCTTCCTTCCTCACACATACACCTGCTTACTGAACATACAGAGGTTGAACTGGTGCTTGTATGGAGCTTTCTCCACCAGTAGTTTCTTTGACACAGGAAGGTACTCAGCAGGCCATGGAAGAAAAATGTGAATACCAACCCAAACAAAAAAAACCCTGCCTGCAAGATGTGGATGGCACAGAACTTGTAGAAGTGGCTGACCAATATCTGGTTAAATTAGAAGTCAATGCCATGAGTGGTAACCCATACAATAGTCAGCACGGATGGACAGGAATTGAGACAGATATAGGATTAAACAAAATTCCTCCCTTTGATGAAAAAAAAAATCAATGAAATGATTCCCAATGATACTAATAATATTCTGCTATATTCATAGATCAGTGTCTTTTCCAGGTGTCATCAGAGAGGTTTTCTTCGGCAGCATATGGAAATAGATGCAGAGACCCACAGCCAGATAGTATGTGGGAAAAGAGTATGTGGAAGTCTTTACTGGGTCTCTTCCCTGTAATGGAAGGAACCTAGTAGGAAAGGAGAAGAAAGTTGCAGGTGTTCAGGATACCAGGAAATATCAGTCCACTGAATGAACTAAACATGGCTCAACTCATGTGGGCCCAATGGGACTAGTGTCAAGGTTGGGGTCTGAAATGATCTGCATCTATGTCCTGTACGTATATATTATGATTCTTAGCTTTTTGTATTGTAGGGTTCTTGATAGTAGGAGCTGGTGTGTCTCTGACACTTTTGCCTCATCTTGGGGCTCTTCCTCCTATTCAGTTGCCTTGTCTAGCCTTGACATAATAAGAGAATTGGCCTTGTATTGTATGCTGTTTTGCCATACCCAGCTTCTGTCACTGGAAGACCTGTTTTGTTTTGTTTTTTTTTTTTTTTTTTTGTTTGTTTGTTTGTTTGTTTCTTCGGAAGGGGAATGGAAGGGGGACTGGATCTTGGGGAGAAAGAAGGTAAGGGAAGCTTGGAAGAGATGAAGGAGGAGAAACAGTGGCTAGAACATATAATATGAGAAAGAATCTATTTTCAATTTAAAGAAGCCATGAAAATTCAAATAATTTCAAATAATCTCCTGATTTCCTTAATGGAGTCTGGTTTTCGATATATTCATCCCAATCTATTCATAATTCCTTTCTACACTCTACTTTCTTCTACTTGAAGATTTATAATAATAGATAGAATATATACTTCATTTTCTGCAATGGTACTCACAATTTATTATCAATTTAAATGTGCTATACAACCTACTGACATTTAACATCATAAACTGTTAATATTTAATATATTAAAATTTAGTCAATGCTTAAGAGGTAATGTAACTAGGAAAATAAGTAGGTTTTATTATAATTGAGCACTCTGAAAAATGACTATGTAATATGGTTCATACCTTTCACTTGGCCATTTATTGTAATTTCTGCACTTTGACCTTCAGTCACAGAAGTCTTGATTGGTTGAGATTTCTTAAACACATGTTGTGAGAAATGAGTGTCAGTAATGAATTGCTTAAGGGTTTCTTAATCATGATTTTTTTCTGTTATTCATTTATTTAGTTGAAAATAATTAAATATTTTAGATTCCTCCATTGAGATGTCTCTATTTAGTTCTGCACCCCACTTTTTAATGGGACTATTTGGTGTTTTGGTAAACAGATGGAACTAGAAGAAACCACACTGAGTGAAGTAACTCAGTCACAAAAAAGACAAACATGATATGTACTCACTAATATATGGATTTTAGACATGGAGCAAAAAATTACCAGCCTACAATTCAGACCGCCAGAAAAGCTATGACACAAGGAGACATACATGTTCCTCCACAGTTGGGCATGAAAGAATAGGTAAAGAATAGAAGAGAACATGAAAAGAGATACCACAATAGAAGGAGCCACTGTAGATTTAAGGAGAAATCTGGCACTAGGGAAATACTTAAATTTTGACAAGGATGAACCCAACTAATAATTTAAGCAATAGTGGAGATCCTACTTTAAATGACCTTCCACAATAATGAAATTGAGGACTACCTTATATGACATCCTAGAACTTTCATCTAGTAGCTGATGGAAACAGAAGCAGACACCCACAGCTAAATACTAACAGAATTCCTGGAATCCAGTTACAGAGAGGAAGGAGTGATAAGCAAAGGGATCAAGACTAGGCTGGAGAAACCCACAGAATCAGCTGACCTGAACAAGGGGAAGCTTATGTATGCCAGTCTGATAGCTGGGAAACCAGCAAAGGACCACCCAAACTTCCTAAATATGGATGTTAGGAAGACTGGGCAGTCTATGGGACCTTTGGTAATGGATCAGTATTTATCCCTAGTATGCGAATGGACTTTGGGAGCCCATCACAAATAGAGGGATACTTTCTTAGGCTAGACACATTGGGGAGAGCCTAGGCCCTGGCCCAAGTGATATGACAGACATTGAAGTCTCCCCATGGAAGATCTCGCCCTCTCTGGGCTGGGATTTGGTGGGGTGATAGGGAAAGATGGAAGGGTGAGGGAATGGGGATTGACATGTAAAACAACCTTGTTTCAAAATTAAATTTAAAAAAAGAAAAAAATACATTATAATAAAAAAAACTTGAAGCAAATCAAAAACAAGGTATAGTGAAATTACTCTATATTACAAAAATATTATAAATTTACCAGTTTAAAGATGTTAAAATACTAAGTCATGATCTTTCAAATCTTCTGGGAATCTGAAGGATAATTAATATGGTCTGTGGTACATTATTCATGAATAAAACTACAAAATAGAAAAATTTAAACATTAGCATACCCATTGGTTGTTCTTTTCACTGTCCATCTGGCACTTTTGTCCTGTCTCAGGTATAAGTATTACTTCTGATTCTGTAAATAAATCCATTTGTGCAGTTAATGTATGTGTATAAGGAAAATTAAATATGTGTTATAGTATTCATACTATAAATAGACTTTTTAACTTGCTGATAACTAATATTGAGTGCCTTATTTCTTACTTATAAACTTTAATTATGTTTACTTAATCTTCAGCTGGATATATACTCCCTTAGGATATATAGGTATCAACAGTTCAAATGCATCATTCAGCCATAAGAGGGTGCCATGTTCAAGATATACAAAAATCTTAATACTTTATACTTAGATTTTTACACTAAGAGAGACTGAAACCACAAGTCATCTTCTCAATCAACACTCCACTCCATGAACATTGTGGTACTTACATACAATGCATTGTTGTTTATGATTTTGAAACACTCCACACATTTTCTGAAGACTGTGCTATACTATATTTAGTTTTTTACCTGAGAAAATACATGTGTTTCATTCTTTGCAACTATGTGAGGTTTTTTCTGGGTTTGTCAAGTTTATACTTACAGCTAGAGTTCTCTATTTTTTCTTCACATATCAAACCCTTTTCTGTTCCTAAACTAGAGATGCCAAATTTACATGATAATTGCATTAACCATCTTTTATTAACCTAATAAGTATATGCTTATTAACGTTCTAACAGATTCTAAGTCTAGAAATTAAAAATATGTTAGGGACCTCCTTTCAGAGATGATGGCTAACAGTGATCTATACATATTGTCACTGTGAAAACATAAAGATACACCCTGAAAATTGAGAAGTAATGGCAAGAAAGGAATAAACAGTTGTACTTGTCAGAAAACATAGGGATAGTTGAGAAGCCTATTTCTTGTTACATGTGAGATAATATCAGAAAGGGATTATAAGAAATGAAAAGGGGGAGTATATTAAAATTATGTGCATAATTTTGAGAAATTTGAAGAATAATGTTAGAAAAAGATGTTTATGTTAACATTTGCAATTGAAATATAGCATACTTAATTGGGGAGAAAAGGAATGTGAAAGATGTGTGTAAATATGTGGAAGTGATTAAATATAATACAAAAGCTGTTATGTAATTTGAAAGTCAAGGAGCCTTTTCACATCATTGAAAATATAAAAAAAATATTTTGAACAATACATAAACTGTTGATTGGGTTCCTGAAAATCTAGATTCTGGAGGATGCTGATCTTATTTCTGATGTCAGATGAGACATGTGGTGAGCTGTATGGAATGGCTGTGCTGCTTTGGTTTGCATGGAACATTTTCATATGCAGATATGATTCACTTATACTTTTTCAATATATATATATATATACATATATAAATATATAATATATAAATCAGGTTCTCTACAAATGTTATAATGAGGTGTATAATAGCTGTTATCCTTAACTATCAATATATCATTGTTATATGATTTCTCAAGAGAACAGAGAATAAGTGTAATATAAGAATATATATGTGTAAATATATAAAGACAATATATGAATCACTTTATTAATTTTAATTGATTAATGTAAGGTGAATGAAATTAAGCAAGAAGGAAACAATCAAAATGATATAAAAGTCATGGCAACTCTATTGATATATAAGTGTGGATTCATGACCTTAGTCCTTTAGGAAAATACTAGGTATCTGCTAAAAATAGAATTCTAAAAAACATAACTTTTCATACTGTGTTATATTATCTTCTGGTACATACTTAACATCATGATTGACCAAGGGCACTGACATTTTTAAAAAAATTAAAGATAGTAATGATTTTCCATATATACATATATGGAAATTTGATATACACTTGTCATATATAATAACACATATAACATTATGTAACATTTTATAGCTCAAATAATTCTGTGAGATTTATAGAACAATGAGATAATAATGTGAAGTATGTTAGCATTTTAAATAATTTGAATATTTATCTGAAAACATCAATACTTCAAAATTCACCTGTTTGTAATGATTTTGCATTCTTCTTGGCTGGCGAATCATTTGACATAGACTGTTCTTCAGGAATAGACTTTATGGGTTTGGAAACATGATATTAGTAGCATGTATGTCTCAGAGTTAATGACACTGAATATATTACGAGTCTTTACCTTCCTTTGAGGATCTTTTTTAGGGTGCTCTGAAAATTAAAATAGACAATCAACAATTATAATTATATATGATGCCAATCAGAAATTTGTCAGAATAATTGTGGAAATTAATCCTCACAGGGAGTCTTTGGGAAAGAATTTTTGTAGAAGTTTAGTGAAACTTCATTTGCTCTGTTTGGCATAAATAGAAGGAAAATGTGCAAAGCAGACAGTGAAAAAACACTGACATTAATGTGAATGACTAGAAGTTTCCTGAATTGTGACTATGAGCCAAATGCTATATAACTTCTCAGATATTAAAGCTAATGGGTAGATAAAATATTTAAGAATCATTTAAATGAGAGTAGCAGAAAAATGCAGTATGAGCTCTACTTCATATCGTAATTTAAGAGGAACAAAGTTATTAAAGAAATTTTTCTGAGTTATTCATTTTAGATAGTCATGTGTAGAATGATAGTACATGAAATTACTACTTAATTCACATATGTAAATAAGATGATTATATAGTTATTATTATGACTGTTATGGATCTCATTTCATTTTCCCTTGGAGTATACAGATCATAAAATTTCTAATAAACACATCTTAGAAATCATGTGCACATTCTACTGCATGCTGAAAATTTGAAACATCGTCACAATAAACATATTCATTACAGAAATATTAGAAAGTACTAATTTGCTAAATGTGGAAGCAGTTCAGAATTTAATAATATCTCGGTCCTTCTGTTCTAAGGATGGAACTTTGCTAAGTAACTTTTTATAATTTCATAATAAGATTCCTCACCTTTCTCCATGCCATTTATTGTACTCTCTTCACTGTTATCTCTAGTCACAAATAAAGAACCAATTTGCTTTTGCTGGAGTAGCTTGAAGATGTTCTGTTAAAAGTAGGATTGCTAATGAGTTGAATACAGATTTCTGAACTAGAAATTTTGTTTTCTAGTTAAAAAGCAATTATATGGAAAATAAATATTAACATCAAATCACTTTGAATTTCCTTTTTATAAACTCCCTGATTATGTTTATATTATGTGTATTTTTTTACTATATTTACTTACAATATAAGTCTAGGAGACACACACACAACCATAAGCAGGAAAGTAACTGATGTGCATAACCAGTTGATGAAATAATTTCATTTAACTAAACTGTTGTGATTCTTAATAATACAGAGATGATTTTTAAATTACGTATTTAATAACTGCACTCTCTGCAGAACATTATTCTATATTCGTAACACTTAAAATTAATTTTAAGCTGGGCTCTGCCCACACCGTACTGCAATGGTACAGGCCACACCAATAATGAATTAGGCGAGTTACTCACCAGCCAGCCCAAGTGTCAAAATGCCTAGATTCTGTTCCCAAACACCCATTCTACCAACTGCTCCTCCCACCTCATTTCCAAGCCCTAAGCCAGGCCCTGTTGCTACCCTGGCAGACTTCAACTACTCAGGTGCGGGCTACAGAAGTGTTTTCATGATATTGTGGAGTGTCCTTTGGGTATATGCCCAGAAGTGGTATAGCTGGATCATGAGATAGATAAATTCCAAATTTTCTGAGGAACTGCCATATTGTTTTGCAAAGTAGCTATGCAACTTTGCACTTACACCAGCAATGGAGGAGTGTTCTCCTTGTTCCACATCTTCTCTAGCACAAGCTGGCAGTGACAGATATAAGATAGAATTCCAGAGTCATTTTAGTTGCATTTCCCTGATGGCTAAGAATATTGAAGTTTTTAAAGTGTATCTCAGTCATTTGAGAATTCTATTTACATCTGGACCACGTTTTCTACATGCTGACATCCAGTTAGACCAGCAACTTTTGCTGAAGGTGTTTTCTCTTTTCCATTGTGTAATTTTAACTTCCTTGACAAAATTGAAGTATGCTTGGGTCTTTGAAACTGTTCTATTGATCAACCTGTCTGTTTATATGCCAATACCATGCAATTGTATTATTATTGCTTTGTAGTACATTTTGAAGTTAGGGATGGTGAGACCTCTGGAAGTTCTTTTATTGTACATGGTTGTTTTATCTAACCTTGATTTTTTGCTTTTCTAAGAGAAGTTGAGTACTGTTCTTTCAAAGTCTGTAAATAATTGTGCTGGAATTTTCATGGGGATTTCTCTGAATCAGTAGATTGTGTAGTGAGATAGTCCTTCTGTGGCACTGACCACGCCCATTGGGGGGTGGAGCCATGGGCGGAAGTGACCTGTGGAGCTGTGGAGGGAGGTCAGAGAAGGGGGGGGGGGCTCTCTTGCTGGCGATACTCGGAGAGGAGAGCATCGGGTGGAATTTCCTGGTGTTCATCTGTCTAGTAAGTAATTTCTCCCTGAATAAACATCTATTCGGCCTATTTGTTTATCCTGATCCTTATTTAACGGCGATAAGATTGCTTTTTGTAAGATGGATATTTTTACTATGTTAATCCTATGGGTCCATGAGCATGGGACAGATTTCCATCTTTGATATATTCTCAAATTTCTTTCTACAATGGCTTGAAGGTCTTGTCATACAGATCTGTCTTTTACTTGGTTTGAATTATTGCAGTATATTTTATATTATTTGTAGCTATTGTGAAGGGTGTTGATTCCCTGATTTCTTTCTCAGCCCATTTATCATTTATACATAGGAGGGCTACTGGTTTGATTTTACTTTTTGTTTTTGTTTTAGCTAATTCCATATCTAGCGATTTCACTGAATTATTTTTTAACACCTGTAGGAGCTCCCTGGTGAAACTGTTGGGGTTGCTTATATATACTATTCTGTATTCTGCAAATAGAGATACTTTGACTCTTCCTTTCCAATTTTATCCTCTTGGCCTCCTTTAGTTTTCTTATTGATCCAGATAAAACATCAAGTACTGTATTTAATAGATGTGGAGAGAACAGAGAGTCTTATCAAGTCTCTGATTTTATTAGAATTGCTTGATCTCTGCATTTAATTTGAATTTGGCTATAGGCTTACTGTATATTGGTTTTACTATAGTCTGTATGCTGCAATCAACAGACCTAGAGAGACCAGGTAAAAAGGAGGGCTCAAATAGGGATACTTGGATCTCTCAAATGGGAAATACAAGAGATCTCATGGACGGAATGTGGGTGGGTGGAAATGGTTACATGAATGATTGGGTGAGGGGTGGATGAAAATTGAGATTACTGAATAAGATTACTCGAAATGGAGAGAAATTTGGGGGTCTAGTAGAAATCTGGTGCAAGGGAAACTCCCAGGAATCTACAAGGGTGACTCAGGATATATAGTCTTGACTAGCTATATATTGTAATCAGTCAGAACTTCCAATGGAGGTACTGACTCTGGCCCAGACACACAACCTTTGACCTACCGGCTGTCCTGCCTATGGGAAGTAGGGGAGAGGAGAGTGGCAAGTCGTTTGTGGGAGTGGCCAACCAATGACTTGTCCAGCATCAAACCCTTCCTATGAGGGTAGGCTCACCCCCACACACCCTAATGTGTCAGGACCAATAGGGCAGATCCAAACACATTTGCAAAGTATAATATCAATGTAATGATCCCGAATGATATTCTGATATACTCATAGGTCTGTGACTACTCTAATTGATATCAGCTATTCCCCATCAAGTAACTGATGGAAACAAATTCAGAGACCCACAATCAAGCATTTTGCAGAGCTCGGGGAGTCCTGCTGAAGAGAGGGAGGAAGTATTGTATGAACCAGGGGGATCAAGTACATCACAAGGGAACCCACAGAAACAACTACACTGAGCTTATAGAATTACAGAGTCTGGTACAACAGCTAAAGTGCCCATGTGAGATCAACCTAGTTCCTTTATATATGAGTGACAGTTGTATAGCTTGGTCTACTTGTGGGACTGTGAACAGAGAGAGCAAGTGCTATACTAATGCTCTGAATGGGTCTTTGAAACCTATTCCTTACTGGGTTGACTTTTCCAGCCAGTGGAGGACAACCTTAACTTGATATGCCATGCTTTGTTGATACCCAAGAGAGGCCTTCATTCTTTTGAACAAAAAACAGGGAGGAATGGATGGGAGGGGTGGGCAAAGGAGAAGTTGTGGCAGAGAATGGGAGGTGAGGAGAGGGGAAACTTTGGTTATGATGTAAATAAATGAATAAATTTAATACATTTTTAAAAATAGGATTGTTTATAAGAAAGAGGTGGAATAGGGGGATGGGATGGGAAGGTATTTAGAGGGCATGGGAGGGAGGTAGAGGGAACTGGGATTAATATGTAAAATAAGAAAAATAATAAAAAAAAAAAGAAAGAGGATTTCAAAAAAAATCTGAAAGCCCTAATAAGGAATGAGTAGAGACATATTTTCAAAATGTAAAGGAACTAAATTTTTGAAGTCCACATAATATAAGCATTACAATGGTCATGGTAAGAACAGTTTTTATTGCTTCCTGATTGCTAGATGAAAAGAATATTAACGTTTTAATGATGAACAGATCCAGTAACACCTAACATGTGATCATTCCTTAACCTTTTTTTTCTGGATGCATTCTTCTCTAATTGGCAGCTTGAGTGACACCTTCAAGAATATCTGCTCTGAATTATAGAGTTATACTCTAAATATATTCTCCACTATCAATACAAACTCCCTCATTTTAATTGTTTATTTGGATCAGAATTTATTCTGACCTAAGTGTGTCTGTTTTCTCATGTGAAGAAATTATCATGTTTGTGGATTGTTAATGGATTTTTCTTTTAAACTCAGGATATACCCACCCTTTTACTTAGCAATTAGTAGCTCACTACTATTTGGTTATCAAAAAATGTAGATTACTCAAAATAAAAGTAATTGAAAACTCTACTTGGATTATTCAGTTCTAGCTGTGGTATTCAAATAGCATATGACTTTGACCATTCCATACAATATTAGAATTCCAAAAGTTTGCAAACATTTCTGTAAAATTTCTGTGCTCTATTTAATTTTGACATATTCCACAGCAAAGTAAATTCAGAATGCAGCAATTTTTTACAGTTGTATTTTCAGTGCTGAAATAAAGATAACTTCATATGTTTTTTTGTAGCAAAGTACCAAGGGCTCCACGAATATACCATTCCCTCCAGTGGTTGTTAACATATATATATATATATATGTATATATATATATATATATGTATATATATATATATATATATTCCCTATCCTCTCTAATATTGAGAAATTAGAGACAAAAACGAAACAGAAATGCATAATTAAATTCCTGATTTAATTATGAATTAAGCACTATTGACTGCTCATGGGTACTCTCAATTCTATGTCAATAGGGGATAATTCATTGGCCTAAATAAAAATACAAACGAGTACTGTGTATAATTTCAGCACCTTCATCATAAATCTCTAATTTAATCAAACTTTTATTACAGTAAGAAGGGTGAAATTATGAAACAATGGAATATGAAAAGTGGTTGATAAAATCTGAGTTGTATCAGTTACTATAAATGCTAAAAATATTCTGAGTTACCTAACTAAATGAAAAGGTTTTGAATTTACATATAAAGTTACAAATTTTTGATTCACAGAGGTGTTCTATGTGTAACAACATTTTGTCTATGGTCTCTTAACAATAAACAAAAAATGTATTAAAGGAGACATTTAAATGTATGTACCAAGCATTGGTTGTTTTCACTGCTGTCTTCCTTTTTCTGTTCCTCTTCTAATGTCAGTTCAATAGCTTGTTCTAAAGAACCTAAATGTGCAGTTAAAACAGGCAAGGAAAACTCTTTGATGATACATTTTATAGCATATCTAAAGATTTTATAAATTTTGTTACTATTTTTTAGTTACAAGTTCTATTACGTTTAACTTACAATTGGATATTTACATGCAGGAAAATAAGTACCTGCCAACAGCACCAATACATCAGTGAGAGGATTAGTAGAGAATGCCATGTTTAAGATGGACAGGCTTAAAAAATGTGTTTATACTTATTCTGTGAAATATGCATCAAATTTCATAAAGACACTGAAATATAGAAGTAATCAAATCCTCTCATACTGGACTCTGTTAATTACCTGGTAAAACCCATATCTCCAGGATCTAGTAAAACTTCTCATCATCCAGGTATGGTTGCCTTTGTTCAGCTCATTCTGTGAGCACCCTGTTCTTTCATCTAATGTGTTTTTAATCTACTATCTTGTTGAGATCTTGGTCTTTTTTGAAGACTTATAGTATTACTACAGTCTTATTTTATGATTGTTCCCATATTCCATGTGACTTGTGTTGTTTCCTATGTGGTTAGCAACCTTAGATCTTGAAGAAACGGAACTTTACCACTTGAACTATAAAATATTTATTCATATATCTAAATAACTCTATTGTTCCAAAATACTGTTAATAAATAACTGTCATTATTTAATCATTCCCTTATATATTTTATTAACGATTTATTTCTTATAAGGTTCAAGAGCTAAAATTTAAGCATGTAAACAACTGTGTCAGTAATAGTGTTTTGAAGGTTATGCTGACCTGACTCATTTAGAATTACCTTAGGGAGATAGTGGAAGTGAAGTACATGAGACTTTAAAGGCAGTAATGAAGGCCAGACATATAAACCTTTTTGATAGCATATAGATGATGATGCTATCATCTATATGTTTGTTTATGAGAACAAATTAAATGGCAAAGAGAGGAAAGGACTAAAAATGGGGAGTGCAGATAATAACAGTGGTATATATAACTTTATTCCTAGAACTCATGTAAAACTGGATCCAGTAGCACTTAAGTGTAACCCCAGCACACCTATGGGTACATGGCAAATATTTAAAATATAACTATATAATGCTAATATCAAGCCAGTCTGGAATATTCAGAGAACAATAGGAGAACCTTACTATAGTCCTCTGACCTCTACACATTCCCTATGATAAGCATGAGTGTGTGGCTACTTCATGCACAGTATACACATGAATCATACAGAGACATCATAACCCACACTAGGGTTGCAAAGAGATGTGCATATTTGCAGTTTAGAATACAACCTTAAGAGTGGTTTATTACAAATGTGAGTGTTGTTATGGACATATAATGGGAAGGTATAAAACAATGATGAACTTTAACCTTGGAGAATAGTCCCAAAGCTATCCAAGTATAAAGTGTGTCAGTGAACTTTATAGATAAATTGCTGAATGCTCCTGATGCCCCAAGCTGGAGAAGCAGACCCTCTTATTTTCTGACATTAAATTACATTTGGGATGATTTTCATGAAATAACTAACTCACTTTTTTTTTCTGGTTTCTTTTTGGTGTGTGTGGGTGGGGGGCGTTGTGTAGATTCTAAACTTCAACCTTCAGTGTCATCTCTGAGGCAGCATTTGCCTTACTTTATAACTGGTTTGTATTCATCTAGAAATCCTAAGGATCCACCTTTCACAAATTTCCACAGGGCTATGACTATAAACGAGTTCCTGACTTTGATGTAGGTGCTGGGATTGAACTCTGTTCTTCCTGCTCTCTCTTGAGAGCAGCTCTCTCTTGACTGAACTACAGCAAGCTCTCTCTTGACTGAACTACCATCTCATCCCTGCTATGTTTCTTTATTGTAAACTTTTTCTCTTGCATTTTATACTGTGTTGAGGCACATCATATTTAAATTTTCAGAAATATTCTACCTTTGTATGCCCCAGGCACATCAACAGATATTATTTTGTACATGCTATTTTATATAATCAACATGACTATTAAATCACTGGTATGACATGTATGAGAAATAGTAAGACCATACAGTCAGCATAGAAGAAATTTAAATTATAAACAAATAAGAGGTAGAAAGATGGCCCTATGGTTAACAGCACTGTCTGCTTTTCAAAGAACCTGGGTTCAATTTCCAGCACTCACATGATGACCAATAATCTTCTATTGCTCCAATTCCAGGGAACATGATGCCCTCTTCTGACATCTATGGGATTATGTGTGCATGTGGTGGACAGATATACATGCATATGAAAACACATATACATACAAAATAAAAATGTAAATATTTAAATGAATATATGTATATAAATAAACGGAACAATTTAAAAGGATGGAAACAACAAAACCACTCTACTGGTTATATAAATTTATATTTAGAGCTAGAATTATTATATGAAATTGGACTTAGTGAGTCAAAATGTCAATTCTGCATCATGGAGGAAAAAGAAGGAACACACAGATAATATATTTCATGAGCACTCTCTGCAACAGAGCTGGTACCATGGTGGACTCATGTCAGTAGGTAATATACAAGGTGAATTAAATGTCTTTGTTGCAGTTTCTACTGCTGTGACAGAAACACTATAACTAAAAGCAACTGGGAGACAGGAGGGTATCTTTGATATCACAACTATCAGGCCACACTATGTCACCGAAGGAAGCCAACACAGAAACTCAAGACATTTACTTGGAGAATGGACCTGAAGCAGAAGTCAAAAAGGAGTGCTGCTTGCTGGCTTGCTCTTATCAGCTTGCTCAACAAGCCTTTTTTTTTTCGGGGGAGGGATTGGGGGAGCTTCGAGAAAAGGTTTCTCTGTATACTTTTGGAACCTGTCCTGGAACTCGCTCTGTAGACCAGGCAGGCCTGGAATTCATAGGTATCCACCTGCCTCTGTCTCCTCTCCTGAGATCTGGGATCAAAAGCAGGAGCCACCAGTGTCTGGCCAGCCAGCCTTTTTATACAACCAAAGACCACCCACCAAAGGGGTGATAATATCCCAAATGGGTTGGGCCCTTCTACATAAATGATTAATAAACAAATTGCCTGTTCTCAACTTATCTTTCATCCCCCCCAAATGACTATCTCCTGTCAAGTTGAAAAACATATCCAGAATGGTAAGCTATAAATTAGCTATAACCATTAGACTGTCATCTAATTTGATTTTAAGTATAATTTGTATTTGTAATCACATGAAACTCTTATATAACTGAATGTCAAACCAGCCTTTTATATCAACAAAATCAGTTGTGTCAGTTTTAGGAAGACTTGAGAGCAAACATGTATCCCTTATATCATCAATCAGGTACATATTAAATGTGAGAAAGCAACATTTATCATTTTAGCCATGCATTCTCAAAGCAACACAGAGATTCAAAAAATGGAATTTTGAACCCTGATGAATAATAAGGTATGTAGTTGAATTAATTTTCACATCTTTAAACTCATTTTTGTAATTCAGTAAATAATGATTTCAATAATTAATCTGGGAGTCAGGTGTTGGTGACACAAGCCTTTATTCCCAGCACTTGGGAGGCTGAGGCAGGTGAATATAAGTGAGTTCAAGGCTGGCTTGATCTACGGAGTGAGTTCCAGGACAGCCAAGGCTACACAGAGAAGCTCTGTCTAAATAATACTAATACTAATACTAATAATAAATAATCTGGCAATTATTGTAAGGATCAGGTATTATGCTGACCTGCCCCTGTCACCTGGAGTAATGCACTAAGGCAGTACTCTGGTCAGCCCAGGGTTCCGTGAATACTAGTGAGCACTCAGGTGCAAAGGACCCCTTTAAAATAAAGAGCCCGGCCCGCTTACTCCCTTTGCTCTCTTTCCAGCTCTTATCTTTCTCCAATCTCTTCTCTTTCTGCTCTCTTCCTCCTGTCCCCTCTCTCCTTCCCACTATTCCACTGGAGCAGACAGTACTTTACATGACCCCTCTTCTCTTCTGTCGTTTCTCTGTGTCTCTTTCCCTCTTTTCTCTTTCCTTACTCCTCCCTCCACCCTCTAATAAAACTTCTCACTTAAACTCTGTCTGGCTGACATGTCTGTCTCTCTGTCTTGGTCACTTCAAGCTTTATGCTAACAACTATATTTGCATTGTTAATATCAAATCCACCAGTGAAACTTGGAGAAGAAAGGTAAATAATTGTATAGAATGGGGATGTTTTAAATATGTTGAAATGCTTCCCCACAGACACTAATATTTTGAAATTCACCTGCATGTGAAGAGTTCTCTTGATTGGTATCTGAATCTTCATGTGCAATGAAATCTGCCTTTTCAAAGGTAGGCTGTATAAGATTGGAAATAATAATTTACAATTTCTGTATTTCAAACAGTATTAAGCTAATAGTATGTGATAAATGAGTTGTTACCTTAGGTTTAGGATGTTCATCAGGAGAGTCTAAAATATAACAAAGATATGGTGTATATCAGTTACAAATCACTATGACATCATCGATCAAAAAAATCAAGAATTAGCATGAGAAAAAATTATCATGATTAGCTTTTGGAATGATTTTTTAACTAGGGGGATGTTGAAGGACTTTTATTTTATTTGTTCTATTTTGTCCAGTTAAGAAATAAATGCAATAGTAATCCACTGGAGAAATAGTATAGCTTTAATGATACTTGATTTTTCTTTTTTGAGACAGGATTTTTTTGTTGTTGTTGTTTATCTTTGCCTGTCCTGTAACTCTTCCTATAGACCAGGATGGCCTTGAACTCATAGCATTCCACCTGCCTTTGCCTTCTGATGCTGGGATTAAAAGTGTGCACCATCATGTCCAGCTTGTTTTTTGTTTTTTCTTTTTTCTTTTCTTTTTTTAATATTCAGGTGGTTTTTAACTGTTAAATCTGATGTAGAATACATCAGTATCTAATTTTAATTAAGTGCTTCAGCACTGTTTAAATATGAATCTATCACATTCTCTACTTTAAATTGTAATTTAGGCAATGCAATATGTCTTAAATTTTCAGAGAGAAGCATAACTCACTTAGATAAGAAAATTTTTATGAGCTGATCAGCTTGAATTTTCATGACTATGTATGAAATATTCCTCTTTAGAATACACATGGGATATTACTATGATCTCATTATTTTATCTTGAAGTATGCACTTCTTAAAACATTTCATAAGAGGTATATGAAACTATTTATATAGTGGATGTTTAAAAACTCTTTGAGGCATATTGATAAAAATGCATTTTAATTAAAAGCAGGGAAATACTTAATATAAGATGCACTATTAAAATTAATTTAAAAAGTGCTTTTTATTTTCAAAATTACATTGATATGGCATACAATGTCAGGGAACAAATTGGCTTACTCAAAGATCAGATATTATGGCAATCAGAAGGCACGATTCAGAATTCAAATTAATGGCACTTAAATGCCTAATATACTGAATTCTATGTTTTTGACATGTCATTACTTACAGTGTAGTTGCTGCCACTTTTCAGCAAATATCTCCATTTCCCTGTCACTCCAAGGAGCTATGCATCAGAAATCACATTTTTAATGGGAAGAAACGAAACTGCAGCCTTCTGGAAAGTATTATCTCCTTTCTTCACAATTAACACAAAGTTTGCAGAGGTAGTGATTTTTGTCCTCCTTCAGTTCTCCTTTCTTAATGTAACTTGTGCATCCCTTCTACATTCTTCTGTGAACTTATCTGACAAATCCCTCTCTTCTCTACCCAGAGGTGGTAAAAATTGGAATTACAAATCTGGAAGCATATAGACTGATAGAGAATGAACAATCTTATAAACCATGTGGAATTGCAGTTTTTGCCTCTCTGGGCTCATTTGCTCTGACTGTAACCATTCTAAATAGTAGGGAAATGAAGGAGTCATTGTTTTGTTTTGAACTATTACCCAATGGATTTGTTTATAGATTTCTTTAAGGTTTCCACACAAGCATTATACAGACTTTTTGTGGAGTGCAATAGGATCTGCACTTGGAAAATTCTTAAAAGAACTCATCTCAGAGCAACCTAATCCAAATTTCATTTTGAACATAATTCCAAACTAGATGTTTATGAAAATATGAACAGATCTGGTCAGCACAGTCTCTCCTTACAAATCATGTATTATAACCATATAAAATGAGATCTAGAATGTTGCTTGTACGGCCTATCCTTTCACCCAATTTGAAAGAGCTAAGAACGCTTAACCATTATAATGGTATTTTAATCTGTAGCTGTCATTGCTGACTATTATTAGAGAGACAGACAGACAGACACACACACACACATAAACACACACACACACACACACACACACACACACACACACACAAAATCTACACTCTGGATTCTTTCTATTTGAGGCTCCTAAGCTAAATATACGCTAAATTATCTTTGGACTTAGTGATGCTTTGTGTGATTTAGTGTACATATGACTGATTCTCAACACCTTATAACTTCAATCCACACCATATTTACAGAAGGCAAGATGGATGAAACACTTAGTTCTACCTTACAAACATATGTTGATAATAGCTTTTCACTTCATGTTTGTTCTTCATTTCATGTGATTTAAAAAAAAAAAAATCCACACCATTACCTATATAAACCTACCTAATTTTCCTCCATTACTCAGTTATCTCTATCTTTAATAACCATTATTGCCCTCATCATTATTTGCCATTAGATCCTAAAATCCCCATGGTGTGAGAGACCTGCCATGCTTATTTTTAGTAACCTTCCTCACTTAAATTTATTTTGGCTATGAGCCTACATTTTAACAGCTAAGCCATTGATTGCTCCAGTCCGAATTTTATAAAATAATTATACTGTTGTCACTTAATATATTAAAATATTTAATTAATATTTAGTACCTAAATTTCTAGGCTAGCAGAGTTTTCTGGTTCTGTTTAAAAATAAGCATCCACCAGATGATATTTTATAATAAGATTTCTTACCTTTCTCTTGACTAATTCCCATGTTGTCTTCTCTTTGATCTTTAACAGCAAATAAATGAACAATACCCCTTGGTCCAGATTGCTTAAAGACATGTTAGAATGAGAATCAATGATTCATTGATTGAATAATTAAAACTTAAATGTCAGTACTGACTCATAGAAGAAACCTAAGGCTTTACTTATTAGGAATGATAACCATTTGACATGACTCAGATTCTAGGATTTTTAGTCATACATATGCTCATTTTCTTAACTAGTTAAATTGGTATTGAAATATCAAATTACCACTTATGGATTCTTCAGGACAGTGTGAAGGCACCTTTTACTTATTTTATATTATATATTAATTTAAATATCATATTAATTATTAAAAATAAAACACATAAGTACCATTGGTTGGTTCTCTCCTGTGGCATCAAGAAATTTTTGTTCTTCCTCTGATGTATATTTTAAAGTTCGTTCTGATGACACAAACATATGTGTAATTAATACAAAATGGAAAACAGGTAGCATGAATTTTAGACCTTACATAGAAACTTTAAAATATTGATGATAATTCCAATTATCATTAAATGCCAATTGGCATTTAACATCCTAGTCAGAAGTTTCATATATGTTTAACCTTTGTCTGGCTAATTCTTGAAATTGGAAAGAAATGTGTCTTTTATGAAGAGCTTCAACACATTACTTAGAAAGTATAGTGTTCCATGCTCAAGAAATGAAGGCAACTTAAATGTAAATTAATATAAACATATAGCAACACACTTTTAAGAAACATATACACGTATAAAATCAAATGCAGTCATGCAGAATATATTTTCTACCTTAATGGAATGGTATCTCAAAACTAACTGGGCATTTTATCACCCAATTACTATTGCAAAACTTTCATTGAAAACATCATGTTTTTACAGCTGAAATGTTAGTTTCTATGAGTTTAATAATTTTTGATATTCCACTATACTTCTATTTCCTTCTATATCTTTGTTTATTTTCCTATGCATTAGCCTAGGGTTTGTTCAACTTTTAATCTGAATCTTTGTTATTTTAGTATTAAACTATATTAAATGTCTTTTTCTGATGAATTGGCAATCTTGAATATTGTATTTGTATAACAATTGTTACTGAATTGAAAAATTATTTGTCATGTGCCTTCTATGGGCTGGCCCTGGAGTTTAATGAGTGTAACACAAGATTTTGGGGTTTTCTTGATATTGGGTCATATATAACAGTTAATGAATGGCCAAGTCAGACTTAGAACAACAATTTCAAGTGCATGTCACACAGGAACAAGAGAGCAAGAGATGTGCCAACTGCAGATATATGTTGGTCTAATAACAGAGTGTGATAACCTCCTCAGCACTATGGCAGTGATGGATGAATGGGTAGATGAAGGAATGGCTGCATACAAAACAATGGACAGAAGTCAGGTTGTGGGGATCTCATAAGTCCTGTACACTTATATTGTATGTTATTGCTTGGGATGGATATAGCTTCTAAATGTGATAAGGATGCATATTTGTAGAACAAGTGTATAAATGGGTGGAAGTGATTTCCTAGAAGGAACGTTGCAATGTAGAGATCATGCATCCCTAAATCATGGACCATATCCTAAAATGTGATATGAATTCACAAGTACACAGAACACAAAATTTTTTTACTAAAATAATAAATGTGTTAGTACTGATCCCTGAAGAATCTAATCATCCTCAGTACTTTACTAATGGTAAGACAGAAGACGTGAAATGATATAAATGATGTGTTTAAGTCACTTGTATTTAAATTGTCAGTTTTCTAGTGACTGAACTCTCAAGGATGCTTGGTATTGCCTGATCTAAATTCTTTAACATACTAAGGTCATACATCCAATGCTTAGTGGTCAGCCCTTAATATACATGCACACACACACACACACAAGTACATCAGTAGTTTAGTTTGTGTGTGTGTGTGTGTGTGTGTGTGTGTGTGTGTGTGTATGTATGTGTTTATGCATGTAGCAATAATTAAAGAAGTCTTAAATTTGTGAGAGGATGTGAAAAGGAAGATCTAGAAGGAATAAAAGCAAGAGTGGAAATGAGGCAAACACAGTACTCATGTATTAAACTTTCAAAAGAAAATGTTTTCTTAAAGAAGTAATGTAGCTGATGTGTTTGCTTATAGGTAAAACCTATAATTAACATTTGTGAAACCCTGGGATTATCCCTAAAATTAATCTTAAAATATTTAAAAAGTATAAATATGAAGAGAAGACCAATAATGGGATTATATGTCCATTTAACTTAGCATATGGGGCTTCCAGTGACTATACTAGGAAATTTTGATTATTAAGTTACAGTAATTTGTAAGGTATGAAAAAAGGAAATTATGTGTCAGATTATATGGTGCCATTTGTAATTTGTTGCTGCAAACTTGAATGTATGACTGATTCTAGGTGAAGAAGTTGCTGACACATAAACTAAAATATAAAATAGATGTAGATAGCCAATATATCCAAAGGAATAAACAATTGAAATTATGTTTCTTGAAACACATAATCTACCCATGTAGTTCAGTATGGGCTTTAACTACTAAATTAACTACTGATGCTCCTCTAATTTCAAAAAGTGCAAAAAGCATCCTGATTTTCTTAACAAACCCCACCAAGGAGTCTGTCTCTATAGCTGGGACATGAATTTTCCTCAGAGATCTCACTGTGCTGTTACTCCTCTATCTGCCTGATGGTGACATTAAAAGATGGAAACAATCAGTAAAGATGCTCTTTCTTAAGACCCGGAGCCCTCCTGTATTTCCTGTGCCAACAAAAGCATTTGTATTATTGAGCCCAAATTTATGGATCAGCGAAATTACAATTTAGAATTATGTGAGCATTTCAAATAGTTTCCAGAGCTTTCTTCCAGAATAATTGGTGTTGAGGATTTACCTGAGTTTAATTTTCCTTCATCTTTCACTTCTAAGCACTTATATGGAAGGTGGTCACAAATTTCAATAGGTGTCTGGATGAATTGCAAAACAAATTATAAAAGTATTACATAGTTTACAAAATACAATGTATAACCCTGACCAAGAGTGTAAAAGTTGTTACCTTCAAGTTTGAATATTTCTTTGCAGTATCTGAAAAGACAGACAACCAATTATACCAAAATGAACATTAGCAACTAGACATAGTATGGAACTCAAAGAAAGGTGGTTACCTTTTTCAGTGGTACTATCACAACTTTGGGGAATTTTAGTTTTGCTGGTTGTGCTTTGGAATTCTGCTGTTGATTGAGAACAATGTGAGAAAATATATTGACTAAACATTAAAAACCAATTTAAGTACATTTACATGTATTTTTTCATACATTTTCCTGAGAAAACATATTGATCTCTTATAACACAAAGTGCATAATAGATTTTCAATATTAAGATAAGCTATGTATTATCTGAGGATTATTGGATATGAGTTAGCCAGGTGTCCTAAAAAGCAGTGTCCTGTTAATATAAGCACTTATAAGATATTATAATGTAAGATATTATAAAATATTCTTTTTCCCACCTGCATGTCTGTCTGCTACTCTCATGGCTATTCCTCCTGGTATTTCTAGTTTGAGTTTAGACCTTTAAAAAGAATCTTATTATATTCTGGTTTAGTAGACTAGTGGTTGTAGCTTCTTCTCTAAGATCCATATTCCCATTACAATGTTATACAGACAGAGCAGATTGTATTGATGAGTTTAGCAACATATATGCATACATATATGTGTACAACAACAACTTAAAAAAGAGGTCAGGTATTTGAAAGAGAGCATAGAAGTAAACATAAGAGAGTTTGGAAGGAGGAAAGGGAATGGTTCAATTAGGAAATTATATAATAATCACAAAAAATAAAAATAAAAATGCATTATATTAACTATGTGTTGAACAAAGTATATATAATAAATTTTCAATGATGAAATATGATTATCAAAAATTATGAACTGAATTTCCAGATTAATATATTTAGAACATGTTACAGTCTTTGCCTAGCAAGCACAGGACTCTTGTGTTTGGACCCAGGCTAAAAAGCCAAAGAAAAAAGAATAAACTCTTTCTTCCCAAGAATATATTATTTGTATGTATTATGTGAGTCCTCAAAGAATGTCCACTAAATCACTGCCATCTAAAATTTATCTCAAATGAAAATAAACATAAGATCTTGTGAGCTATTTGATTACAATTTGTAAAGTTATGTCACTGTGATTGATTTAGTAAAAATCTAAATGACCAATATCTAGGCAGAAGCTATAGCTGGACTTTTGGACAGAGAAAAGCAGCAAGACATACAGGAGAGAAAAAAAAGCCACTAACCACATTGCCACATGTAGATGAATAGAAATGTGTTTGTTGTTATAAGTGCTAGTGTGACAAGTCTTACCTATAGTCTGAGCTTTTATAATTATTATTAAGTCTCTCTGTCATCTTTTGTGAGCTGGTGGCCCAAAGAAAAATTTATCTATCTACCTAAGGCATCCAATGTCAAGCCATGTATACATATCTACATAAGGCCTGAGATAGCTAAGAAAAAATCTGGACAAGGAGATGAATGTGGCTTCCTAGTCCTGCAGTCTCTTCGGCTAGCTGGTGATCAACAGCATACAGAGATGCACCTACCAGCTGCCACCTGTGACTTGGAGCCAGCTGTCAGTGCCATCTGCCAGTACTATGTACCAACACCATGCACTAAACCTCATGGTCGATATGCTTCTATTCTTGTTTAAGGTGTCATACCTATGAAGCTTATTTAAAAGGGCAATGTAAAGTTATAGTCGTAAAAACTATGATAATAAAGAAAAACAGGTTAATTGTCATCTATAGTAATCAAACTTATAGAGATATGTTTTAGATAGATAGATGATCTTCAAACACTTCAAAGAGCTACAGAATATGGCATTAAAAATGTTTTAGTAACATAAGGCTTTTCATAACAGTGAGACATGTGTGTTCCTTGTAGTACCAATTTACTTCAAAAAAAGATGATGGCCATCAGAGAACATATATATGGAGTTTGCTTTCCTTGTGGCAAAATCTAGTTATTTGGCAAGAAATTGTTCTTACTTTTACTGTTGACAATATTCTATCCAAACTGGACAAACAGGACACAAACAAACAAAACAACAGCCAAGAAAGGATATGACAGTCCTTCCAAAATTGTTGCTTCACAGAAAAGTCTGTCAGATATTCTAAGCCCTTAGGCCTAAAATGGATGCCCCAGTGTTGCAGAATAATCTTGAGGGACTGTCCAGACAAGCAGCTTTTTCCGTTGTTTCATTTTTTTTCTTTTCTTTTCTTTTTTTATGGTAATTTTTTATTTTAATTTGAATAAAAGCTTGTTTTACATGTCAATCCAGTTCCCTCACCCTACTCTCCTCCCTTGCCTCACAACCCACATCCAATCCCCTTTCTGCTCCCCAGGGAGGGTGAGAACTCCCATGGGATGAGTTTTGGAAATCGCTGGCTCTGCACTTGCTCTTTACTAAGGTAATATTTTATCTGTCTGGGGACATTGATGGAGTTGAAGACTAGACAGTCATAATTAGTTTTCCTGAGATATCATAGATGATAAATTAGGTACACAGCATTAAACTTACCAAGATAAATAACAAAGTATTTTCTTCAAAATTGTCAGAAACAAATTTAATGGACATTATAAATGTAAATCTTACCTGGTAATTGTTCTGATTGTATGTAATTTTTACTAGGTTCAAGTTAAAACACTTTCTTTTTTATTTAGACAAAAAAGGGAGAAATGTTGCAAGATATTTGATTACACTGTGTAAAGACATATCACTGTGATTAGTTTAATAAAAAAAACTAAATGGCCAATAGGTAGGCAGGAGTTATAGCAAGGATTTCTGGAGAGACACAGAGAGAACACTGGGAAGAAGAAAGGCAGAGTCTCCAGCCAGGTGCATAGGAGGCAGGATAAGCAGTACAATGTAAAGGTAACTGAGTCACATTAAAGAATGTAGGTTAAAGAATATTTGTTAATTTAAGAACTAGGTAGGAATAAACCTAAGGTTAGGCCAAACTCCCATGATTAAATAATAAGTCTCCATGTCATTTTTTGTGAGCTGGAAGCCCAGAGCAAATGCCTGTTACAGTAAGAGGCTCAGATTAGTTATACTTGTTTACTTAAGTTTAGTGGTAATTATTTATGTTTATTTGATGCCTAGACACTATCACATGAATTGATTACTACAGCTTCCCATGTTCAGAAGTTCTTCTTCCTTCCAATAATGTAAATAGCAACAATGAGTTAACTCTGTTTTTCCAGTATTGAAAACAGTGTTTTCTAAATATTTAAAGTTATTTCTTTTATGAGCTTACAATATAATTACATCACTCCACCTTTTTCTTTTCTCCCTCAGAACCCTTCCATATACTTCTCATGTCTTCAAAATTCATGGGCTCCTTTTGCATCATTTTTGCACGTAGAAACACACACACACACACACACACACACACACACACACACTCATCTCTAAATACTACAACCTTTTCAGTCTGTATAAAGTTCACTTATATGCATGTTTTCAAGGCTGGGAATTTGTTTTAGAAAAATGAATTGTTCTCTTCCCAGAAGAATATTTCTCCAACTCTCAACCATTCCTTCCAAGTTGTTCTTTGAAGCAGGGACATTGTGGACCTTTTTCTGTCCACTTTAGCATGTCTAACATTGTTTTTACTCAGCTGTTGTTAGGTAGATAGGTTGATAAAATTTTATGTGCATAGATTCTGACAGTTCAAGGAAGCATAGTCTCATATCAATCTCCCTGATCCTCTGACTCTTATTAATTTTTCTGATGCCTCTCTGAGCCTTCGGGCAGGAGTTGTTTTATATCTAAATTGCTTTTTGTGGTTTGATTTTGTTTTTTGATGCAAACACATAATTAACTAACTTACGTTTCATGGAGATATTTCTTCATTTCCTTCACACTTCACTAGACAACTTTATTTATTCACTATAAAAATGTTATTCATTCCAAAATATTTTACTGATAATATTTCTTTGTGTTTCTATTCTTTATTGTGCCATAGGTTATTGTGATCACATTCCACCCCCTGTATGGAAGCAATGCCATAAGATTATACAGAAAAATTATGGAACCATAAAAAACTGGCTTGCCAAGATTCTAAAAAGGAGATAGAAATGTTATTTTATTTTTTAAATCTGCTTTGATATTTCTTTACAACTTTCCTTCTCTGGTAGCAAATGTTCTGACAACAATGGTCTTTTCCTTTAATCTTGTTTTCTCTTCAAATATCTTCTAAAATTGACCTATTAACCATTTAATGAATATTTAGCTAATCAGAAAGTGGAAGTCTAGCAGTGTTTACATCTCCTGCATTTTACAAACAAATAATCCAATAGATATGGAACCAAATGATAGGTGTGTAACAAGGTCTCCTCCAAAGTGTGATATATAAAACTTTTTAAAGATGTGATTAGTTTGGAATTTCCTTTAAAAATCTTTACCTAATTAAGTTTTTCCAAAACAAGAAAATTTCTATCCTACATGTCATCCAAACTGAGACATTAGAAGCAATCACACACTCTGTGGTGTACTTTATGAGTTACCTAATCACTCTATAACTAATGAAATGTTCATGCACAGTGCCTGATTACCATTTATTTGCTCCTTGAACTCACTCCTTTTCTTGCTTTCATGCCTCATCATTTTCCCTCCTTATTAGCATTCCATTGGTATTAGAATACATTACAATATGATTAACAACACAGATCCTTAGGTAACTCCACCAACTTTTGTGTTGCTGAAACTTGATAAACAAGTCATAGAAATTATTAGTGTTAAACACCTTTGTTATTATACATGTTATTTTGTTAGGATCATAACTTATTCCCAAATTTTAAACAAAGTCACATGACTTTCAAAAAATGTTATACTTACCTTTCATTTGTCCATCTACATTACGTCCTGGTCTTTCATTTGTTTTCCCATTAAAATGGCCATCACCTATTTGTGGACGATACTTAGAAACACAATGTTAAAATTAATATTAGCAATGGGCTGTAGAAATATTTTATAATTAATTTCTAAGAGTAACAAATTTCAAATTTTAAAAGAAATTACAGTAAAATATTAATCATGAAGGTAAAACTAGATAGACAAAATTTTAAATGCACATGTGGTAAGTGCTCTCTAGATCAATAATACCCTACACCATTATATTGGACATATCAAGTGATTCTAAAAGGATAGAGAAAACAGAAAGTCAACTAGCAGAGCTTCCTAAACATTTAAGTAAGAATCAACTCTGAATAACTAACTCTTCTGTGTTTTCTTTCAAAAGTAGAGTTTAAAGGAACACCCATTGTTTTAAATTTTTAAGTTCAATTGATTAAAATATAATATTTACCTTTAAATTATATTGAACAACAGAAAATTGTTTAAGAAACAAAACAGACACAAAAGATATGTTGTTGAGAATTCATACTGTGTAATCTCAAGAATAAAACACAAGAAAAAAACTCTTCTTATAGACAAATGAAGTTTTTAAACCACAATGTCAAGGCAGGATGGATGGTTCAGTGACTGAAAGCCATTCTCGGCCTTCCATATTATTCCATAAAAATCCCAGTGAATAACCTGGTGGCTTTTAACCCACTGTAAATGTAGTTCAAGAGTTCCAATAAATACTCTTAACTTTGTAGATGCTGCATGCACACAGCTGAACACATTTATATATAATATATATTAAAATTTTACTAGTAAAAAGATGTTAATGAAGAGATTGAAATTTTTATTTTGTTTGAATAAATAGGATGTCAATGTTTTTTATAATGAAAAAAGACCTTCTAAAGAGTATAGCAATGCTTAGTCGAAGAGAAGATACCTTTTTTTTTAATTAACTATTTACACTACACCAGGCAAGGCACATTTTTTGCCAACAAATATGAGAATAAAATGTGACTATATGATGCTTACTCTTCTCCTTAATTTTTGGTCATCTGAGGATGCAAAGAATAAAATGAGGAACACATGTGATAAACCTTGTCTTTGTTCAGATGGGTCTCAAGACACTGCTATGGCAGGTCTTACCCTTGAACACTCCCATTGCTCTGTCCTCTTAAGTGTCTTATCTGGATGTAGAATGGCATCATGCCATTACCACCCTCAGTATTGCCCATACTACAATCATCTGTGGTTTCATATCGATTGTTTGTGTAGATTTACGTTTGTATTGGGTTTTCTGTCTTATTCGTGTCACTTTGGACCTTATCTGGCATATTCAGTATCTTTTAAGCATACTGTTTATCTTAGTGAAAAATTTTCCATTAAAATATTTAAAGAGTATTTTCACAGCATACCAATACCAATTAAAAGTTTTAATTCTGAATTAATTCTACAAATAGAAATGTATTTACTATTGTGCATCCATATTGAACTGTCTTCACTAAATCCTGTCTTAGTATATTCTAGTATATATTGAAGAGACTATATTTCTGTTTTGCCTCATTCCAATGAAGGTTAGATTGTTGTTTTAATCACTTTTCTTTTGTGAAAGCTGGTGCTCAAATTGCTTTCTCCCTTTCCTTTCTTCATTCTGTGCTAGCAGTTCCTGAGCTGGTGCTGATGATGTTCATTCTAGTTCTACCCTACAGTCAGTCTTCTCTGAAAACATCCCCAATGACAGATCTATCATATACTACTAAGGGAATATAAAACCCTTTGGAGTTGACAATAGCAACAACCACAGCTGTTCAAGGCACTCAAACACCAAAAGGCCAATTGTGGAAGGAAGCCTGGCCCTGAGAGGCATTGACTTGATAATATGTAAGTATATATTTAAAGTAGTTGATAAGTATAGTTATTTAACCTGAACCAGGATAGCAAGATATTGTGGAAAGCATAATATTGTCACATTTACCCTGGGAGTAACTAACAACCACTTACTTGTACTTAAGGCCTGTGCAATAGTAGGAGATCCATGTCTGCTACAATAAACTTATCTAACAAGCTACAGCTGATGAGGCCATGGAACCTAAAGGACAACCTACAACTGCCACTTTCCTAAAGCAGCATAATCCCTCACTGCTTTCCATTGTTATACTTATACCCAGTGATAAATGCAGCACTCTCTCCCATCAAAGAAACTTTATTTTGTAGCACCCAGAGACTATTACAGAAAACTACAGCTGGTCAAAATGTAGAGAACTACTGTTCATTGTATGCTCTTCCACTATTCTACATTAAGCACTAAATGTCTAGATTTAATGCTTAAGGAACATCGCAGAAGATGAGGCAGAAAGATTGTAAGACTAGAAGACCAGGATATTTTCTGTGAGATATAGTGTCTTCTAAAAGAAAAATAAAAGAATGTAAAATAAAAAGAGGACAAGAAGTGGAGGGGGTTAAGGAAAAGGTGTTGGTCTGGGAGAAATTGAGAAAGAGAGTGGGGTGAATATGATCAAACTTTGTTGTATGAACTTTTCAAAGGATTAATAATAATTAATAAAATAAGAATAATAAGAATTACTTAATAATTAATGTTATATTAGCAAAAATAATAAGAAAATAAAATAAGTTTGAATAAGATAACATATATATTTTCTTATTATGTGTGCTATGCAATTAAAAATTAGCAGTATTGAACTAAACAATTGAAATATTTTCATACCAGTGGCTGTTTGTCTTCATTGCCAAGTGACAGAGTTTCCTCCAGAGATTCAATTTCCAAATCTGATTCTGTGGCAAATATATATATCACAAATGTATTAAAAAGAAATAGTATTTTTTTTCAATCAATTTCAATTTCTGTCAGATTTTTAAAAACCCACATTGGAAGACCTACAGTACTAATTTATTTTAATTTAGATGGACAGAATCTTGCTCTACTAATTGGCTAGTCAATAACTCCTGAGACAAATTAATCTCTAGCTGGACATTCCCAGGTATATGAGATTACAGGAGTGTCTATGACTCTCAGGTGACCCAAAGCAGTTTGAAAACTGATGGATCTTAGAAGTGTCATAAGTATAGACATCCTTAGATACACAGATGACACATGGTCATGAAAAATAATTAGAAACATTGATGCCAAACCTCACATAAAATCGTTATTATGTAATTTGTTCCTTCTGAAGAAGTTACATGACAACATTTTCCTTTCCTTTACTTTTATTTCCTGACACTATCAATATTGGATGGGAAAATAAACTTTAATAATGGAAAGAGTGCAAGCATTTCAAACATTTTATTTAAAATACCTTTTATAATTTTATAAATTTTATTTAAATTAAAAACTATCTTATTTTGCATATCAATCACAGTTCCTCTCCGTCCCATCCTCCCATGTCCACATCCATTTCCCCCCCTTTCCAGCATTGCATCCCCCATCCTTCCAGGAGGGATCATCAAAATCTGTCAAGTAGTTTGGGGTAGAAATTTACCTATTTTGAAGTGATGTGAGTTCACCATTTTTCCAGCTTTATTGAGAATGGGCATTTTCCCCTCAATGGAAGACTGTGTTGATTTAAAAGCAGGATATTTAAATTTTGTATACTTCAGGCAATATATAACAGAAAATTAAAGGCAAAATACATAAATAATTACCTTCATGTTAGGAAACATCCAAACTTGACCTAAAAAGCAAAAAGGAATAATAACATAAGATGTAAACAGAATGGCAATCATATTTTCATAGTAAGTTCTGATGAAATTGAATACTTGTTTGTAACTTTGAAAATCATAAATTTTTACTAAAATTAACAGTTTGTACACTAAAGAATTGAATTCTTTAATGTCTATCATTAAATATACTTGGCATGTCATATTACTATAAATAATTTTCATGAAATGAATTGCAAGTTCTAAATACAAAGTAAAATAAGTCAGAAAATAAATGTCATATGACTTCTCTCATATGTTAATGGTTGTACATATTTATAATTAACAGGAAAGCATAGGCAAGACTATAGCTGGGAGATATGAAGCAATAGGAAGAATAAGGCAGAATTTGAGAGTTAAAAATAGAATTATATTTATGTATGATTAAACCCATTATTCTGTAATTTACTTAAAAACTTCTAAATATTGAAAGAAAGTTCCTGCATTGAATTTTATCTCCCATTAAATACCAATGCCCTTTCTAATACATTGATGATTCCTGGCAGTTATAGAAAGAAAGTAAGTGGATGTCATCACCCCAATCTTAGCATTTCTCCACCTACCACTAAGACTAGAATCTGCTATGGTTAGTTTTCATTTGGATACAAAAATGCTGAGTTCCACACATCTACGTATTCTTCAGATTTCTCTTGTTTATTTCTTTTTTTAGTTTACCTCACAATTGCAGGCTAGAGTCCGTAATCATGGTAAAATAAAGAGGACAGGAACTCAAAGTTGCTAATTTTTATCACATCACAGTCCAAAGCAGAAAAGTGTATTAGCACATGGATGCCTAATGTCCAGCTCACCCTATCCACTATGATATAGTCCAGCACTCAAGGTTAGTAAGTGTTGTCACCCAGAATCACCTACCTAAGTTGGGTTTTGTTTCATTTTGTTTTGTTTTGTTTTTTTATATACTCCTACTGCTAAACAGTACCTCCTGCCTTTAAAACTAATTCAAAACTAATTTCACGATTTTAAAAAATTCTACTTAGTGGACTATTATCACCATGGATATCCTCCCATTTAGCAATATTACCATAGAATTGTTACTTCTGCCTCTTCCTCTTGTTGGTACCAACAAGCTTGCTGTAAGAATGCTCTTAAAGAAAAATGATACCAAGCTATGACTGTCTTCCAAAAGGCTTTTATCTATATGTCTCTAAAAAGAAGCATGATATGGACAAAGAGGCAGTCTCTAAGGCATTGTTATTACTTGAGAATTTATTGTAATTATAAAGGATCTGACATCCTGAAGCTTTATTTTTTAATTCTTTCCTCAAATATCATACAAATTGGGTGCTTTATTTCTCAACATGAAACTTTGATTATGCTTAGTCTTCACGTGGACATTTACTGACTTGGGAAAATACTTGAAACCATCAATAACTTCAATATATCACTTAGATCAAGCAGAGTGTAATTTTAAAGGCATTATGTATGTATGTATGTATGTATGTATGTATGTGTATATATATATACATATATATACATATATATAATCTTAAGGATTCATATAAAATATTTCACTAGAAATGATTAAGCACAATTTCAAAACAAAATTAAGTGATAGATGGAATCAAATATAGTCTTGATTAAACTGTTCACTACCTTATAAGAGTGTCATTTCCAATACCTATTGTGCATTTTCTCTATGCAGTTATTGTCAACTTTCTATAGCTCAATGAATGTTACCATAACAATCCCAAGAAGAAATATCAGAGAACCCTTTAGAAAAATTGTTTAGTGTACCTTTATTTTGCATTACTGGAAAACCAGACTTTTTGTTTTCTGGTATTAAAGTGAGAATTAAAGTGTACTATCTGACATCATTCAGTTATTCGTTCTGTGTGTGTATATTTGTGACAAATAGACCAAATATATCTGCTTCTGTCTTTCTACAAAAAGGGAACATTAGCAGATAGGAAAAGCAATTTTTACATGGGATCAGAGACTGAAACTTCTGTCTTTTTTTTGTATGTGAACATTTATCAGCAACAAAAAATTATCAGAAAAATGTAAATTGAAAATTCAGTACAATATAACAGGAACACTGTAAATATGAAACCAATCAACATGAATAATAATTTAATTTTGATATCCAAGAGTGAATTCTAGTGTCAATGTTTAGATACCTCTTGTTCCAAGGACATTCACTAAACAATCACATTATCTAAATTATACCATCTCAAGTTAAAAACTTATGCTACTTATTCAAATTATTCCCACCTGTCTGCCTAAGGTCAGTGCAAATTAATTATCTCTTTGGTGCTTGAAATTATCAAGAGAATTGATTGACTGCAGTTCCTCTTTCTTGCAAAAGCCTATGAAGAAGTGAGGATCTAATCTTTGTTTTTACTGGTCACTTACAGAGCCACCCAAAGTAAATTCTCTGAGTCCTTCAAGCTTTCTAGTAAACATCTCTTTTCTAATTATATTAAATATACACTGTTCATAAAAAAGCCTTTTTTCTTTCTGTTTTCATCATTTTACTTCACTCTTCCTTATTTAGCATCAGTATTTAAGGATATAAAGTTAAAATTGTCATACCATACACACACACACACACACACACACACACACATATACACACAAACACACACATGATTTCATTTATCTGATAACACATTCACCTTTGCCTAATGAAGTAGTTAATTCCTTCTATAGTTATAAGGAATTTTGTTGTACCTCTTAAAAAATTTAGATAATAAATTCGATCTTTATATTCATCCAATGTTATATTGCCACATGATACTTTAATGCTTAAGTTAATTTGATGCTTAATTAAATTTAATGCTTAGTTTAAGAGCAATTAGAAGATTCCCCTACCTTTTATCCACAACTGCCTCATACCCATGCATTCACCCCTATGGCACAGTTTTTCTAATTCTCCACCTCACCTTCATTATTCTCCTTATATTTTAGCATCCCATGATATTAAAATAGATTGCATCATGACAAAGCAATCCCATTTTTAAACCTATCAATCTGACACTAAGCAAGTTTTTCAAATTAAACATATATCTTAATGCATATTAAATGAACATTACTCTTTGGTTAGTACTGCTCCTTAATCACTTGTTTTAAATCATTGTCCTATTTTAAGAGTTTTGTTTTGTTTGTTTGTTTATAACATTTCATTCCTACCTGTGTTTTGTCTACTTGTATCTTTTTGACTCCATTCATCTGTTGTCCCAGAAAAATCACCATCATTACTCTGGAAGATGATCAGAGGTGACTGTTAAAACTGGCAACAATTGGAATTTCACAAATGTCTTTTGATTTTTACAAGATATTTAAAATTCCAATTTCAAAAGCATTTAGAGTGGAAAATTAAGAAGAAATGTACTGAAGGAGAAAACATTTAAAAAAGAATTTGTTATGACTTTCTGGATCCATACACTTTTTGCAGTCATAAGGCCACTGACTTTGGAATCTGGTCTTGGATGGCAAGAGGAATCCTCTAATATGTGCTCTATAGCTCTCCGGAATGTCTCAGTAAGGAATGAATACTAAATGTTTGCATTATAGCAAAAGTGTTTTCAATAAATTTAATTTCACAAATGATACAGCATTTAACATTCTCATGTCATTCAATGTCAGAAATTGTCTGAGGCAGAGTAGCATAGGTAGTGTGTTGAGAGGATTTACACTCCTTAATACAAAACAGAAAGGTTAGTACGTGACATAAACAAGTATTTGAAACTTCTAAACTTGTCTTGTATAAAATGCTTACACATAGCAAGACTAAAAGGATGGCTGAAATGTTGCATGTGTTCCTTTACAGAGTGTTCAAATAAATAGGAATGAAATATGATGTGTAGGTATGCAAATCTTTTGTGATGAAGAAAGATATTCCATTTCATAGGAAGTCTTAGTAAGAAGAGAATCCTATACACTTTTCCTCATCAAAAAATTAAAAATATGGTAAGCACTTATTGGCATATTGGATATATATTAAAATGAAAGCATGCACTTTGACTATATGGTGGATATTCCTCCCCCCCCCACTTGCTGGTCATCTTAGACTACATACTTAGGGGGGGAACACCTTTGATCTATTGATGTCTCTGTATAGATATCCCTCTGAAATAGTCATATGGATAACACAATGTCGTCCTCACTCTGCTGCTCTGTTCCATCCTCAAAATTATTTCAAAAAATACATAACTCAGTGTTCACAAACTCCTTCAATATTAGCTACATTAAAATTCCTTGAATTAATTGGTACAGGAGACTTCTTCCTGAACATAACACCAGTAGCACAAACACTGAGATAGACAATTAATAAATGAGATCTCAAACTGAGAAGCTTCTGTAAGGCAAAAGGCATGGTTGACAAGACCAAATGGCAGCCCACAGTCTGAGAAAAGATCTTCAATTATCCCACATCTGACAAAGCCTGATCTCCAAAATATAAAAAGAACACAGGAAACTAGTCAACAAAACACCAAATGAACCTATTAAAAAGTGGGGTACAGAACTGAAGAGAGAATTATCAATAAAATACCAAAATGGCTAAAAGACACTTAAGAAAGTGCTCAACATCCTTAGCCATCAGAGAAATGCAAATCAAAAGAACTCTGTGATACCATCTTACTCATGTCAGAATGGCTAAAATTAGAAGCACCAATGACAGCTTATGCTGGAGAGGATGTGGAGAAAGGGGAACTCTACTGCTAGTGGAAGTTCAAACTTTTACAGCCATTTTGAAACACAGGAAAATGGAAATCAGTCTACCACAGGGCCTGGAAATCTCACTCGTAGGCATATACCCAAAAGATCCACAACCATGCAACAAAGGCGTCTGTTCAACTATGTTCATAGCAGCATTATTTGTAATAGCAAGAACCTAGAAGCAACCTAGATGCTCCTTAACTGAAGAATGGATAGAGAAGATATGGCACATTAACACAATGGAATAATACTCAGTGGGAAAAAAATCAATGGAATCTTGAAATTTGCAGGCAAATGGATGGAAGTAGAAGAAACCATTTCAAGTGAGGTAACCCAGTCACAAAAAGAGGAACATGGCATGTACTCACTCATATATGGATTTTAGACATAAGGCAAAAGATCACTAGCCCATAATTTACACCACTAGAGAAAGTAGGATACAATAGTATACAAGGATACAAGGAGAATTCTTTTTTTTTTTTTTTTTTTTTTTTTTTTTTTTTTTTGCTTTTGTCTCCCTGGTCCCACATGTTCTCCTCTCCTCCCCTTCTTTTTCTCCTAACTCCCTCTCCACTCACTGACCCCCACTCCCAATATGCTCAGATCTTGTTCATTTTCCCTTCTATAAAGGACATGGTATGAATCTCTTAGAATTCTCCTTGTATCCTAGACTGAGGAAAGGAAAGGGAGAAGCAGTGGCAATCCCTGGGCTGGTCCCCACATGTTCACTATGGTTCTATACTACAAAGTCAATCCTCCCCCAAAACACCCATTCCAAAAAATTCAAACATAAATATTCAAAGGGGATTCCAAATCCTGTATTTGACAGCTACTAAGGCCATTCAAACATTAAAAACCTTACTGTGGGAAGGAGAATAACCATGAAAGACATTGAGAACCATCTTATAACCCCATTCTCCCTCTCAATGGAGAAAATGAAGAAACTATAGATGACAAGAAATAAATAAAACTTAACACTTATGTTCATAATATGTTACCACAAACATGAAGTGAATGAGAAGAGTAGTCCTCTAGAATGAACCAAATACAGATGCCTTGTTCACAATTACAGCTGTTTAACCATTATGTGATCACATATTTTCATTTTATAAGTATCATATAGAGGAAATGGCAGATTGTCTTTGGATTATCACAATCTAAAGATAATATTTGACTATGTACTAATTTATGTTTTAAGAATATTCTAAGTTTAAACATTAAAGGTTAAGATTGGGTAACATAAAATGCAATTATTATCTCACCATAGTATGTAACTAAATAAAAGTAAACAGTAGTAAACAAAAAGAAACGAAATGTCTTCATACCAATGACTGTTTATCTTCATTTTCATCTGAAAGTGTTTCTTCTAGTGATTCAACTTCTAAGTCTGATTCTGTAGGTAAATGTTTTTATTTAGTTAACTTGTGAAAAACTATTATGTTTTAAATATGACTATTTTATAATAATATATAGGTATACACAATTGCTAATGATGTTTTAAATTAAAAATTTCAACTAAGTATAATATTGAGCAGAATATTTATAACTCACCCTTTCTATCTAAATGAACAAACATACCAAAAAACATATCACACAAAAGTCATTGTAGGGTAACTTTTATTCAAATCACTACATTTTAAACAATCCTTTAATTATTATTTTGTATAAAAATACCTGATAATTGAACAAAGTTTTCTCTGATACAACTGATTCTCATATTTGAAAGGTTTACATCTACTGTCTTGTAAGTTTCACCATTTGTAATTTTTAATTTATTTATTCTTTAAAATTTCATTTTACATTCCAACCACAATTTTCCCTCCCACCCCTCCTCCTACCCGCCATGCCTTCCCCAGTCCACCCCAATCCACTCCTCCCAACAGGTAAGGGCTCCCATAAGAATACAAGAAAGTCTGCAAAGTCTACTCACCTTAAGATTCCACTTATTGAAAACATCTAGCATAAGTAAAACCATAAATATAGCAAAAGTCATTTGGCAAGAGGCAAGAGTGAGAGTGACTGCTCAGTAAGGGTGGGGTTTTCTTAAAAGGTGATGAAAGTGCTCTTAGACTAGGTAGCTACTGATGATTGTACAACATTCTTGATGCAAATGGCAATGAATTACAGTTAAAGTGGTACATTTCATGTTATGTGGCTTTTACTTGAGTTTTACCTGAAACTCTAATCAAATATTAGTTGCTGTCAATGTGTCAGGCAAATTGATTAAGATATCATTGCTCTCACTGGGCTTTGAAGTTCTCCAGAAACTGACACCCTAAATAATGCAGAGTACTGGGGTGCTCACTGTTATTCATACAGCTGCCAGGGGAACTTGCATCTTGGGTGATAGTGTGATAATGACATCACAGCCTTCCAAAGGAGGCAACTGAGCAAGATTCTAGGAGGATAGATTGATGAAGCAGTTAATTCTGCATACTCATAGAGCTCCTTTTGTGGGGCAGGCTCTGGGCTAGTCAAGAACTCAGTGATGGTCAGGAACGGAGGCCATTCTTCATAAAACTTCCATAGTTAACCAAATTATCAACTACCCATACACTGAGGTGAATTCTATGAAGAAAGGCTTATACTATACTGTGAAAGTGTAAAAATAAATAGCCTGTCAGTTTGGGTTGGGAGACTCCTCCTTGCTGGTTAGCTCTCATGGTGACCACGGATGATAATGAGTCTTCCAGGGAGAACTGTCAAATGCAGTATTATCATATATACATAAAATTTATTACTTTGTTTCATTTTGAATTCCAACCACAGTTCTCCTTCCCACCTCTCTACCTGGCACTCCCTTGCCTCCCCTCAGCTTTATCCACCACACCCATGAGGAGGAGTGGACTGGGGAAAGTTTTACCTTTTAAAACCCACTCCAATATAGAAAGATTTTCTTGATATCGCTCTCTCTCCCTAAGTAAACAAGCAAATTTTTTCTGTCATATGCCTTACTACTCCATTGACTTTTAATCCTCCCTTGCATTATATCATCTTTACATATTTCTACCTCTTACTTCTGTACTAGAAAGGTTTTTTTTTTCACATTATCTTTTTTGCAATCAGTTTTTTCTATATTATTTGTAGTAGAATCAAAATTATTTGACATTACATGGCAAAGAGTAAGTGAAACATGTTAGTGGTGGCTTGCAATAATTAATAATCTGATTTTTCCAATTCCATGTTGAGTTTAGATAAAAATAAGAGCAGAAATGATGAGTGTAGGATATATGAGAGTCAAGAAAGGCAGAGACTGTGTAAATGACAGTGTGGTTTTATCAGGGGATGTCATGAGCAGCGTACTAACAGGTTTAGAAGCAGCATCTTTTCTGTTAACTGATAGTCATTTACCCCTGACAAATATCAATCTCAGGCTGTAGACCCCCCAGGTATGTGATTATAGAAGCTACTACAGCTCCTGGGCCACCCAAAGCAGTTGTAATACTAGTAGATCTTAGCAGTGTTGTAAGTAACTTCACAATTCTTAAGTTCAAAAAGGACATGCAGAAGTTTGAGGTACTGAAACAGTAGGTAGAAACATTGACATGGAACCTCTCATTTTAAAATTCTTATATTGATCTTTTGTAGAAGTTATGTTTCACCATTGGCCTTATCACTATTTACATAAAACGATACAATCAACACTACAGAGAAAACACATTTAAATTTAAGACAAATGCAAATATTTCAAGCATTTTAATGGACATTTATTCAGAATGATTTGTACATATCATTTACCTATTATGAAGTGATGTGAATCTGCTGTCTTTCCTGCTTCATTTAGAATGGGCACATTCCCTTCAGTGGAATACTGGGTTGATTTAAAAAGATGATATAAAGATTTTATATACTTCAGACAGCACATAATTAACAATTACAGGAATAATTACCTTCAAGGTAGGATGCATCCAAACTTGAGCTTAAAAGCAAATGAGAATATAATCAATGTTTCATAAACAGATCATCACTCATATCTGTACTTAATTAAGGTGAAAATAAATTCTCATTTGTAACCTTTAGTTTGGAATATTTGGAGATGATTTTTCTATTCTAGACAACCACATGATAGAAATATAGTAATGGAAACATACTCTTAAAATTAATACAATATTTTCTAAAACTCATAATTTGTGCATTAAAGTATGCCTTTAATGTTGATTGTTAATCAAGCGAGACCAGTTTGTTACATTGTATGACTCTGAAGAAATTTTTCTTCTAATTTATTATTTTAATGTCGATCCCAGTTCCCTTTCTCTCCCTCCCTCCCTCCCTTCCTCCCTCCCTCCCTCCCTTACCTTTACACTCTCTGCCCTCTCACATGCACCCTAACCAACCTCCCCTCCGATCCCCCCCAATTCCATATGTAGGGCAATGCCATCCAGTTGGGGTCATGGAGATCTGACAGGTCATGTGAAGTAGCGACTAGGACTTCTCTCCTTTCTCTAGGTTAAGGCAGTTATCCCTCCATGGAGGATGTGTTCACAAGGACCTTTTGTGCACCAGGGATCCATCCTGCCTTCACTGTCTGAGGTCCCTTAGACTGCTCAGTCCTTCTGGTTGAGACCCATATTCAGGGGGGCCTGAGTCAGTCCCATGCTGCTTTCCTAGCTATCAGTCTGGGGAGCCGTTTGCTCCTCTTTGTTCAGGTCAGCTGTCTCTATGTATTTCTGCAGCCTGGTCTTGTGTTCTCCATCTGCATCTGGGTTCTATTTCGACTCCATGTTTAGGCATGAGTGTTTGCTTCTGTTTCCAACAGGTATTAAATGAGGGCTCCATGGATAAGTTAGTTGTTGATCTCACTCTCCAGGAAGGGCATTTATGGTAGCCTTTCCACGGTTGTTCATATTGTTAGTTGGCGGCAGTCTTGTAGGTCTCTAGACCTTTCTTTGGGCCAATTTTCTTTTCAAACCAATATTGGCTCCCTCTTTTGTGTTCTCTCTCTCTCTCTCTCTCTCTCTCTCTCTCTCTCTCTCTCTCTCTCTCCCTTTTCTCTCATCTGTCTTCTATTCCTACCTGGACTCAATCTAGGAAGACTGAGGAAATTTTTTAACAATATTTTATTTAAATTTTAAACAACCTTGTTTTACATATCAATCCTAGTTCCTGCACCCTCCCAACTTCCCCTATTGCACCCATCCCCCTTCTGCCCCTTCTACCTCCCCCCGGGGAAGTTGAGGCATTCCATGGAAAGTCTTACTCTGAAGAAATTTGTAATATGAATAGCAAATTCTAAATATTAGAAAAATAAATTCACAGAAAAAATGCCATGGTCATCAAGTTTTATAAGAGACATGAAGTCAGAGATAATAGTATGGCAGAAAGGGGGATTGGATAGGGGATTGGTGGGGGCAGACGAGGAGGGGAGGGAAAGGGAACCGGAGTTGACATGTAAAAGAAGATTGTTTCTAATTAACTTAAAAAATAAAAAAGAAACAAAATAAACTTCAGATATTCATGAGTGCCATACAATTTGAATTCATTCATAGGCATATTTTGTATCTTTACTACACAGGAAACTGTCACATAAATGTAATCAAACCAAATGCCTATTCTCAAAGAAACCATTTGTTTCAGGGTTTCACAGAGCTGAGGGCACATGTTCTGTCATTTCCAAGACTAGACAGGAAATTCTAACAAATATAGGTATTTTCAATAGGAAATTTTAAGTTACAGATGTAATCTATAAGTGAATTAAAACTCAAAACTTTTTTAAAACCTGTTGATTGACTTCATTTACTCTCTGTTTTCTCTGTAGATCGTAGCCTTTACCCTCTTCTTCATCACTCTCCTTAATTCCTAACAATCTTCAGGTGTGAATGACCTCACTTGCCACTCATACATCTAGTGCTACCCACAATTAAAATTACTTTCTTCAAAGTAAAAAAAAAAAAAAAGTTTAGCCCTTTAATATATTGTATAATTAGTGACAGGAAAATAATTTCTATCCTGTCATTTAATTCTACTTCAATTTTTATTATTTGTGTTAGTGTATATGTTGTGTGTGCATGGTGTGTGCACATGTGTCTGTGCAGGTGCATACCTATATATGCTCAAACAGAGCCAGAATAAGACAATAGATGGCCTTTCCTAACATTATTCACCTTATCCTCATGAGACAAGATCTGTCACTGAATTTGAAGGTAGGCATGTAGTCAGAATATCTCAGTGATCCTCCTGACACTGTCCGCGAAATGCTGAGTTACAGGACCACACTTTTTTATGTGAGTCTAGATATTTAACTCAAGTCTTAATACATTCATAAAAATAGTACCTTTTTCTTAACCAAAGACTCAATTCTCCAGTCTCTGTCTTTCTGAATCATATGTTATTGTCACACAGAAACGCAGATGTCTGTATACATATGCCTTTATGGATAAACAAAACCTGCACAGTCTGTTTAATTTTACTCTGTTCTGTTTCAAGTATATATTTCTTCAGATGACTTTGTGTATTAAAATGTTCCAACTTTCCCTTGACTGAATCCTGAATCATTACCTCTTTGGCCTGCAACCCTAGATAAATGACCAATCAGAGTAATATTTACTAAATGATTCATAAAATAGTGTTCATTTTTACACATGTACATGGATGTCTATTATTGTGGTTATGTGTTCTTCAGTTTACAGATCTTACAGTATCTTCATCTGCTAATGTGAATTTTTCAGAAGTGAAATATGATTATTAAAAATATAAACTGAAAACAATGTCAGCCATGGTGGTACATACCATTAATCTCAGCATTGGGGATGGAGAGGCAGGCAAATGCTTATGAGTTCAAGACAAATCTGGGACTACACAGCAAATTATAGGACAGCCAGAGCTATACGAAAAACTGTTTGAAAATCCAATTTAAGCTGATTTTTTTATTTTAATATATCAGGAAGTTGTAATGTATGAAATCAATGCTATATTTATTACAAGTCACATTTGGTATTCAGAGATGGATTCTAGTGTCTTATATTACTGTTGGTACATTGTTTGGGTGTATCATGTTAGTCCTCCAACCACACTCAAAAAACAACCAACTTACTGGCTCAAGTTAAAACTGATATGTTCCTTAGTCTACCCATCTGCTTTATAGCACAAATACTAAAATCCCAGAGACAGATATATGGGTTCAAGAGAAGATCACAAAAGAATAGCCATCCAGTCGCTCTTACCTCTACCAGGCTGAAATGGAGATATTGTCTTCCCTGTGACTGAAAACATAATCTCTCATGAGACCCTTTGCTTCTTCCTTATATACCTTCTTAGTGCTGGAGCTAAACGTGTGAGCTTTGTTATTCTTTTAAACTGATTCACTTTCATGTAGCTCAGGGTCTTCTTAGATTCACAGAGATCCATCTGCCTCTGTCTCCTGAGTCCTGGGTTTGAAGGTGTGCGCCACCACTGCCCAGTTTCTATGGCTGTGGCATCTGATCCCCCAGGCAAACTTTATTAGATCATAAACAATAAATCACCCCTGCTTAAAATCATATATATATATATATGTGTGTGTGTGTGTGTGTGTGTGTGTGTGTGTGTGTGTGTGTGTGTGTATTCTTTGATGCTTGAAATTATTAAGAGAATTTATTGGCTACAGTTTACCTAATTATACCAATTAGAAGGCACAGACTATGACTAGTTTCAATTTAGCAGTACTCTGCAATCACCTAAATGTTAAAACCTGGACGCAAACAGATATGAAAGCCTTAGTCCTTGTTTTAAGTTAATATCCCATCACAAGAGTTGTTTTTTTATAGCATTTCTTTATTCCTACCTTTAATATTTCTTCTTTCATATTTTTTCTCAGATAAAAGGCCCTCACCACTCTATGGAAAATCATGAGAGACACTGGTTAAAATGTTATCAGTCATGAGTGTCCTAGATATTGTTCATTTTATAAGATACCTGAATTTCAACATGCAAAAACAATTAGACTGGATTATTACAATGAAGGGGACAAGTTTTACTTATCATCTCAAAACCATTGATTACATAACTTGAGCATTGAAGACCAAAAGAAATATGTATATCTACAATATAGCTGTTCTAAATAGGACTGTCCAATAGTAATTCTGTAATTCATGTTTATACACATTTAATTTCATTCATAGAATACAGCACTTAGCATTTACACAACATCCAATGACAGAAATAATGTGTGCTTTCTAGTCCTGGTGGTGTATGCCTTTATTCCAAGCACTAGGGGCGGGGGCAAAGGCAGGTGGACATGGGAATTTGAGGATAGCCTGGTCTTTAGAATGATTTCTAGGACATCCAGAGATAAATAGAGAAATCTGTATCATAAAACAAAAACTAACAAAAAAGACAGACAGAAAGGAGGGATGGAGGAAGGGAAGGAGGGAAAGAAAGGAAGGAAGGAAGGGAGAGAGAGAGAGAGAGAGAGAGAGAGAGAGAGAGAGAGCACACTGGGGCTCAGCTTGCTTTCTCCTCCTTTCCTCAATCTGTGGTGACAACCACATGATGTTGTCTCTAGTTCTACATTACATAGTCAATCATCCAAAGAACACACTCATACAAGTCAAACACTATTCCTGTGGGATTATGAATCTGCTAGATTTATCCAAATGGGACTCCAAATCTATAGGAGTTGAAAATAAAGATGAATAATTGAAGCTACTGGGGAGGTTTTATAACCAAGAGCCTTATAGTAGAAGGAAGAAGGTTCATAAAACACACTGAGGTTGATTAGGCTACTCTATTCTTTCCCTCAATTAGAGAGATTGAAGATACTATAGAGAGCAAAAAATAAAATGAATTTTTAGCTTTAAAGTAGTGTGGGTTTTAATAATTTTACGTTTTATAATT